CATGGGCACAATAGCTGACTGTAAATTGCATTGTTTTTGTGTTGTATGATGCAAGAAACCACTTTACAAAATACAATTAATTATTATTACCATACAGAGAATTAGACAATGTAGGCTACCCCTCTGCCTATTGGCTTATTTGATGAGCAGTTCATGTAAACGTTACAACACTATATCAGCCAGGCTACGAACCTACAGGCAGGAGCTAAACAACGTTACAACAGACACAGCAATATACACACCAGGAGGTGTCTAGGAAACAACTGGAAGAAAGTAAAGCCTACCCGTGATACATTTTTCACATTTTACATTTTAGTCATTTTAGCAGACGCTCTTATCCAGAGCGACTTACAGGAGCAATTAGGGTTAAGTGCTTTGCTCAAGGGCACATCGGCAGATTTTTCACCTAGTCGGCTCGGGGGATTAGAACCAGCGACCTTTCGGTTACTGGCACAACGCTCTTAACCACTAAGCTACCTGCCATATACACTAAGGGCAGGTTTCCCTGATACAGATTAAGCTAAAAAAGCACTTTTCAATGAATAAAACTCCATTGATCTCGCTTTTTAGACTAGGACTAGGCTCAATCCCTAAATCCATTAGCAGCAACAGAAATATTACGCTGAGTAGGCAGGGGTAGAGCAGTGAGGCAAACTATTCTCCATTATTTTAATGTGGCCATGGAACCTTTGGGCCAGCATAGCACCCCACCAAATTTGCCAGTGTCAAAACCCCACTACGGGAGGTTTTAAATCCAGTCTCTACTTTGTGGTGTACACCTTTTTCATTAGGATTGTCCTGTGGGAGCAGCAAGAACAGTTTGGTACTGAAGTTGCGTATAGGAAATGTATGGCTCAGTTTGACTACCAGGGAGAAATGAGTGTAAATGTACTACATTGAAATTTTGTCTCTGAGTAAAACACGCTAGAAAATGGGCTTTATGCTCACATTACCATTTTGAAACAGCTACAGTGCTTTCAGAAAGTATTCATACCCCTTGATTTATTTCACAATGTGTTGTGTTACAGCCTGAATTCAAATACTATACCCCATACTGACCAGAAATGTTTGCAAATTTATTGAAAATGAAATACAGAAATCTAATTTACACACTAAGTATTCACACCCCTGAGTCAATACATGTTAGAATCACCTTTGGTAGAGATTACAGCTGTGAGTCTTTCTGGGTAAGTCTCTAAGAGCTTTGCACACCAGGATTGTCCAATATTTGCACATTATTATTTTTTTACATTCTTCAAGTTTGTTGATCATTGCTAAACAGCCATTTTCAAGTTTTGCCATAGATTTTCAAGCCGATATAATCAAAAGTGTAACTAGGCCACTCAGGAACATTCAATATCGTCTTGGTAAGCAATTCCAGTGTATATTTGGCCTTGTGTTTTAGGTTATTGTCCTGCTGAAAGGTGAATTTGTCTCCCAGTGTCTTTTCTAAAGCGAACTGAACCAGGTTTTCCTCTAGGATTTTCCCTGTGCTTAGCTTTATTCAGTTTCTTTTTATCCTAAAAAACTCCCTAGTCCTTGCCAATGACAAGCATACCCATAACATGATGCAGCCACCACCATGCTTGAAAATATGAAGAGTGGTACTCAGTGATGTGTTGTGTTGGATTTGCCCCAAACATAACGCTTTGTATTCAGGACATAAAGTTAATTTATTTTCCTTTTTTTTGCAGTTTAACTTTAGTGCCTTGTTGCAAACAGGATGCATGTTTTGGAATATTTGTATTCTGTACAGGCTTCCTTTTTGTCACTCTGTCATTTAGGTTAGTATTGTGGAGTAACTACAATGTTGTTGATCCATCCTCAGTTTTCTCCTATCACAGCCATTAAACTCTGTATCAAATCAAATCAAATTTTATTGGTCACATACACATATTTAGCAGATGTTATTGCGGGTGTAGTGAAATGCTTGTGTTCCTAGCGCCAACAGTGCAGTAGTATCTTAACAATTCACAACAATACACAAATCTAAAATTAAATGAATGGAATTAAGAAATATATAAATATTAGGACGAGCAATGTCGGAGTGGCATTGACTAAAATACAGTATAGTAGAACACAGTACATAATACAGTGAAATCCCTGAGCAGTTTCCTTCCTCTCCGGCAACTGAGTTAGGAAGGACGCCTGTATCTTTGTAGTGACTGGGTGTATTGATACACCATCCAAAGTGTAATTAATAACTTCACCATGCTCAAAGGGATATTTAATACCTTCTTTGCGAGGCATTGGAAACGTCCCTGGTCTTTATGGTTGAATCTGTATTTGAAATTCCCTCCTCGACTGAGGGACCTTACAGATCATTGTATGTTTGGGGTAGAGATGAGCTAGTCATTCAAAAATCATATAAACACTATTATTGCACACAGAGTCCATGCAACTTATTATGTGACTTGTTAAGCACATTTTTACTCCGGAACTTATTTAGGCTCGCCATAACAAAGGGGTTGAATACTTTTATGACTTAAGATTTTTCAGCTTTTCAATTTTGTATTAATTTGTAAAAATGTCTAAAAGCATAATTCCACTTTTAAATTATGGGGTATTGTGTGTAGGCCAGTGACACAAAATCTCAATTTAATCTATTTTAAATTCAGGCTGTAACAACAAAATGTGGAAAAAGTCAAGAGGTGTGAATACTTTCTGAAGGCACTGTAACTCAATACAGGTGTGGTGGACTTTCAGTAGAGGTAATAGCACATTACTGCCATCTAGTGGCTTAAAGTGTACAACACAGGTGCATTCTGTACATACACTACAATTTAGCCCTATTTGATACTTGATTAGGGCCATGATTTCACACAAAAAAATGTTGGCACTTTCCTTTTACCGGTATTTCCAACATGTTTGCTGCAGGTAGGACATCCTAGGAAATGTTCTTTAATTGACACAAGCTGTCTCCAATCAATGTCTGGTTGTGTTTGGTGGGGGATCGCCTAAACCAGGGGAGGCGTATCTTAATCTGCGAATCTTAATCACACAAAGTCTATTATTCGGCCTGGAATTCTATTTGTAGATCAGTGATTCTACACCTCACCTTTCTCAGTCTGATCCCAACGGACTCGGAATTTGTATATAAAAATGGGTCAATTAGGGGCAGTTAAAAAGGGAGGGTCAGTTAAATCAACCATGGAATTACAGGTAACTACCAAAATAAAGGAAACACTTGAGGAAATGATGGATACAATGTAGGCGCTTCCACACAAGTGTGGCTTCTGAGTTGTTTAAGCAATTAACATCCCATCATGCTTAGGGTCAATTTAGGGCCAAGACCTGCTCAACTTGCTGATGTTTCACGAGGAACAGTGGCTAAGGTGATGTTGGTATGAAAGTGTGAAGGAAAGACATCATCTAGGGGGCATGATTGACGTTACACCACGGGCAACAATAACTGGCGACTAATTAATTTTCAGACAAATATTTCCAACTATTCAACTTAGTTTATCCACTGACTACCGCATCTAGAAGGATAGCTAATTACTGAAATATAGGTAGCTAGATCACTGGGCGGCAGGTGGCTTAGTGGTTAAGAGCGTTGTGCCAGTAACCGAAAGGTCGCTTGGTTCTAATCCTCCGAGCCGACTAGGTGAAAAATCTGTCGATGTGCCCTTGAGCAAGGCACTTAACCCTAATTGCTCTGGATAAGAAGTTCTGCTAAAATGAAAAAGAAAAAAAAACTGTCCAGGCAGTAGCCACTAACTACATCATCAATTTAGCCACCAGGCGTGTTAGGGCGACCATAGCAACTGAGTAAAAACAAACATTTTTATATGTGTGAAAAGTGAATCGCTATAACGCCGTAAAAATCCATTATTAACCCAAAACATAGAGTAGAAAACAGTGATTTTGTATTGTTATACGTGATTCTGTAAACCTATCATTTTAGCAAGCATCATACGGAGTTATGAGCTCAAAAAGCAGTAGTAGTAGCAGTATGTAAATCAGGGAGCCAAAAAATTTGCAGACGCTCTTATCCAGAGCGGTTTACAAATTGGTGCATTCAATTTATGATAGCTGAACGGCTCTTTCAAAGATGCAATTCGTTCAAAAAAGAGCGGTTAGTTCGCAAACGACCAGTCACTAGTTTTAGGCCTGGTCACTTGACCGCAGTCCCAAATTAAACAGGGCAAAATATTATTTGTTATATTGAAAATGGAAACGAGTGAAGGCGTGAGGCCCGGTGGGACCATTCTAGCCAATGAGATGGCAGATATGCGTGTGAACAATTGCCAGAATGCCACCTGCATTCACTCATATCAGTACGTTTGTAACAGCCTAAACATTACGACATTTCTGTTCGATCAAATGAACGGGATTTGATTTTCAGTATCAGGGATTAGATGAGGGATTTGGACTACTGATATTTAAATTAAAAAGGAATATTAGGGAATTAGTAATACTCAAAGCCCACTGCAATATCACAGTGGTCAACAATTTCTCTCCAGTGACGTGTTAAAAAACCAAATATTTTGTTATAACTAACCAAAGATGGACCAATGGGAGCAAATGAATCATAGTGGGCAGACCCAAGTACGAGCTATCGAGATCCTATTGGTGCGTTTTAGCATTATTTGCATATTTCCTTTAGGGAACGCCTACTCTTAAGTGTGCGCGTGTAATAACTCAATTCACCCTTGTACTCCTGCTAAAGAACAAACACACATTTTGAAACATTGGAAAATGGTAAAGTCTACCAAACTTAGTCCACTCTGTTCTTAACAAATTCTAGTTTTGGGAACAGAAAACTATATTGAGATCAAATGTTCCATCGATGAGGGAAAATTAGCAGAATATCGGCCAAATTCAATTCTCCCACTGGCCGGCCACTGGGCTTCCTCTCGTCACCTTGGTGGTGAGTGGAATTGCCAACCGGATGCTTCAGATTTATACATCCGGTGAAACATCTGGCTCATTGTTTTATCTGTGTCAAAACTCTGACAGCTGGTTTGTATTTTTAATCAGGCGTTGAGATAGGCGTTCTGTTTTGGGGTCCTTGCGGTAGTTCCTGGTCCACGTATGAGCCAGATCCAAAGCAAATACTTAGCTAACAAAGATTTACCAGATAATGTGTAAATGTGACACTACAGTCTATTGTTGATGATTAATCCCGGCTTATAAATCGTCTGGGATATTTGTAATTTTGGACGTCGTTGTTGTTATACGGTAAGTCGACTAGCTAGTTAGCGCTAATGGATGCTAGTATGTTAAGCTAGTTTAGTTGTCGAACCCTGTGTAATCCACCCGTGATTTATGCCAAAAGCTGAAAGTTGATATCTCAGTATGTTGTTAAACCTACCCACACAGACCATTTGTACTATTTTGAGGGTTAAGTGATTACCCGGATTTCTAGCTAACCTTCAAAGATGTTAGCCATAACATCAACAATCTTGCTATCTGTTTGTACGGTAGAAGCTATGTCATCATAACATTTAGCATTATGTTTTGGTTTTAGGATAATGTCTTTTGTCACAAAAAGCTATTTATTGTAATTTAATTCTCGAATCTGACAAACTGATTCATTTAGGTTTTGGTTCATTTGTGTTTCTAGGATGCAGAATGTCTTGGTTCGCCGACCTGGCAGGGAAAGCTGAAGACTTCCTGAATAAAGTGGATGCAGGAGCTGCCAGCCTGACCAAACCCCAAGGCCGCACCTCCTCCTTCTCCTCAGCCTACGATGCTCCTGACTCCACCGACAACTCTCAGTACAGTAGCACCGGCACTGGCTACAGCACCAACACATCAGAGACACAGCAACACCCCTATGGGAACTCCACCTCCCACAATGCATCAGGATCTGGTTTCATTACTGCAGCTGCTGGCAACATCAAGAAATCCAAAGGCTCCCTGTTGACTAGCTCAGCCACCGTCTCCACCACCAGCACCCTTCCCCTGGGGTCTTCCAGCACTGCTTCCTCCTCCAGCTCCATCAAACCCTCCTCCAGCTTCGTGAGGCCCAGTAAGAAGAGTCAGAGTGAGCAAGATGTGGATGATGACCTGTTGTTTGACTTCCTTAACAGCTCAGACCCTCCGGCCAATGAGAGGAGGGAGGTCAGACCCAGAGATCCTCTCAGAGTGTCTCCTGAAGGATCAGGCTCCCCCCAGCCAGCACCTCCTGCCTTGGCAGCTGCCCCCCTCATGGTCCCCTCTGCCCCCTCCACGCCCCCCTCCCTACGGGGCATGTCTCGTACCTCCAGCTCCAGCTCTCTATCCACCAGTACTCACAGTGCCAAAACAGGGGGTTCAGAGGATGGCTCTGCCAAAGAAAGTCAAGGTACTGACACTTAAACTGGTCATTTTTAATGTCAAGGCACAAGATGTATGCTGTTTTGTTCTTTTGATCTCGAATGTTTGGTCGACATCATGTGGTCCTCTGTAGCTCAGCTGGTAGAGCACGGCGCTTGTAACGCCAAAGTAGTGGGTTCGATCCCCGGGACCACCCATACACAAAAATGTATGCACGCATGACTGTAAGTCGCTTTGGATAAAAGCGTCTGCTAAATGGCATATTATTATTATTATTATTATCATACACGTTTATGAAGTAATCAAGACAGTGTTAAAGTTACAATTGCTAATTGAGATCAGTTCAAAGTTCCCTCCTTTTATATATCTTCTGTCTTTTTTTCCAGACACACCTGATGGTTCTGATTCTGGGTTGGCTGTTCCCCAGTCTATCAGCTACCTATCAGAGTCTACGCCCACATACAAGGCCCCTCCCCTAGCCCAGGCCCCGCCCCCTATAGTGGAGCAGCAGAGTCAGATGATGTCTAGTCTGCGTCTGGAGAACCAGCTACTGAGGTCAGAGGTCACCTCCCTCAACCAGGAACTGGCCTCCATCATCCAGAGAGCAAAAGACACTCAGGAGGGTGAGAGAGCTGAGAGAGAAGGCTTAGGAAGAAGACTCATGTCTGGTCCCAGATCAGTTTCTGCTGTCTTGCCAACTCCTATGCTCATTGTCATGATGATGGATGTTGTCATTGCCAAGACGGCACTGACAGATCTGGGACCAGGCTATGCTCATGTATGTGTATCTGTGGTGGGTGTAACTGTATGGTCATAAACTCTTTCCCACAGAATTGAACCAGGCACGGTTACGCACAGAGAAGTGGAATTCGGACCAGTCTCGCACAGACCGCACGGTCAGGGAGCTGCGGTCGCAGGTTGATGACCTCACAGAGGCCCTCAGTGCTAAGGACGGGCAGTTGGCTGTGCTGAAGATCAGGCTAGATGAGGCAGATCAGTTACTGAAGTCACGGAGCTCTGCTCTGGAGGAGGCACAGACTGAGAGGTCCCGGTATGTTTACAATCTTTGTAGATGGATAGGCCTGTAAGGACTAAATCTGGCTGCTTCATTCATTATTAGTAAAAGACAACTCAATTTGTCAGACATATGTCCAGGTACGTTTAATGAACCAAATCTTTGTGAATGAATAGATGTATTCAATGGGGATGTCCTGCTGCTTCAACATTACATATTATGAGAATAAACAATGTGCTACAGCACTTACATGGGTATAAATGGTAAAGGCTTGTTCCGGAAGGCTCTGTGTGAGGCGCTCTCTGAATAGGGTAGTCTACGTGTAACGGAGGTAAGAACGTGCCGTAGGATCACTCCACAGCTAGCTTGAAATGTCGCCGACGGAGCCAGTGAATCGCATCCTTTTCTGTAGGACAACTGGTTGGTATGTTGTCAAGGACGGCGGTCACATGTCTTTACGATCAGAGGACCACTGGTCCGAGCCCACTAAGTAAGGGAACCGGGACAGTGGAGGAAGTGAAGCATCACACTGAAGTTTTTTTTTTTTTATAGCACTAGGGAGACGACAAGTAAATTAACTTTGTAGCCCCTTCATGTCCAGGATCCTCCAGGACACCACGGAAGGCAGCAGTATGCAGTCCCAGGCCATGGCGACCATGCAGGAGAGACTGAGGGAGGCAGACATGGCCCTACGCAGGGAACAGGACAGCTCAGACAGATGCAGGGTAGACACACCAACCACCACACCACACACCCACACACACACACACACACACACACAGACACACAGGACACACAGACACCACACACAAGGACCACCAGGACACCACACTACAACACCACAGCACACATCACACAGACACACACACACAGACACACCACACACACAACAGACACCACACACACACACACAGACACACACCAGACACACACACCCACACACAACACACACACACGACACACACACACCAGACCACACACAAGACACACACACACACCACAGACACACAGACACCACCACAGACACCACCACACACACAGACACACACACACACACACCCACACAGACAGGACACACAAGGACACACAGACACACAGACACACAGACACAGACACAGACACACCACACACACACACAGGACACAGACACACACACACAGACACACACACACACACACCACACACACACATAGACACACACACACAGACACACAGGACACACACACAGACCCACACCACACACACACACCACACACACACACAGACACACCACACACACACAGGACACCACAGACACACACCACACACCACACACAGGACACACACACACACCACACACACAGACAACACACCACGACACACACACACACACACCACACAGACACACACACACACACAGACACACACAGACACACACACACACACACACACACACACACACAAGGTCCCAGCTGTCAAGTACACATTGATATTTGTTAGACAGTTTTTTTTTAAAAAAAATGAATCTTTAATCTGTCAAATACAGATAACTAGTGGTAACAGGGCAAGTTCTTCCTGTAAGTCAACCATGGACTGTAACACGTCCTTCCTCTGCTTGGGACCCACAGAGTGAGTTTGCGGCGCGGCTGTCCAAGGTGGAGGCGGAGAGGCAGACGCTGGCGGAGGCTGTGACGGGTGCAGAGAGACGGGCGTCGGAGGATAGGCACCGGGTGGAGGACCTCCAACAGCAGCTGAAGAATGCCAAGCAGGAATTCCAGGACTATAAGCACAAGGCCTCCCGCATACTACAGGCAAGAGAGAGAGATTTAGATAAGAGGCGAAAGAAACGCTCACCTATTTAGGCGAGGTGCTAGCTGACGGCGTAAAAAACTCTTGAAAAATGAAATTATACCCTGATGAAGATGGCTTGTCTGTCGAAACGTTGGTCATTAGGATATTAAATAATTGCATCTGAGCTCCTAGAGTGAGAGGCTCTCCTTTTCTTTTTCAAGAGATAGAGATTTAACTCTCATCTGTCACATTTTACATTTACATTTTCGTCATTTAGCAGACGCTCTTATCCAGAGCCACTTACACATTTTAGATTTAGGACACAAGTCACTATTTCCTTTCAAATGCTTTTTTATTTTTATTTTATTTTATTTTTTCTCCCCCTCCCACCGTGTGTGTGTCCCCTCTCCAGTCCAAAGAGAAGCTGATCAGCAGTCTGAAGGAAGGGTCAGGCTTGGACGGGCTGGAGGGAGGAGGAACATTAGCTCTGGAGCTTGAGGAGCTCAGACACGAGAAGGAGCTGCAGAGAGATGAGATCCAGAAACTACAGGGACAGATGCAGACGCTCCGAGCTGAGATACAGGTGAGAAGGGACTGGAGACGGTTGCAATGATACATCCCTCTTTTAGCAGACCCTCTTTTAGCAGACCCGCTTAGCACACATACAAAGCAACTTAAAGTACAGTGTGAGTGCATGCATTCTTAGTGTGTTTATGTGATTCCTGCGGTATCCCTGCGGCGGGAATTGAACTCGTGTCCTTGCCGTTGTTAGCAACCTACTGAGCCACACAGAACATGCTCATTTCAAGACAACCTTGGTGGTCGGATGGCCTGGCTGTAAGAGTGCGATGTTGTGGTCTTTCTCTCTCAGTACTTGGAGGTAGCAGCCCTAACTGAGGCAGAGACATGGAGAGAGCAGCAGTTGGAAATGCAGGAGCAGCAGGCCAAACAGACCAGAGCCAAGCAGGAAGTGGAGGCCGAGGTGGAGCGCTACAAACAGGTAGCGTAATATACAATATCATACCATGGCATTGTTGAATACTCCTTTCTGATTGGCTTGATGGGCATTCTAGAGCATGCTTTATTTCCCTGTAATGTACGGTATAATTTGTAATGGCTATGAAGTTCGTTCTTACATGTTTTATGTTTGAGCTGCTGTTGAAAGCAAAAGTAGTTTGAAATGTTGAATTCGATTTTCATAATATCAAGCTAGGACTGACGGTTTAGTTAGCTAAGCTAGGAAGTCTGTTTGTTTGGTTACCAAGGCAACTACTGTAGCTATCTAGTAAAAAAGTGCTAGTTACGTCAGTGGATGTTGAACACATTTTTGTTTTGCGGCAAATACAGCCTTGGTAAGAAGCGGGGAATGTATTGCGACTCCGTGAAAAGTGGGTGGCACTCTGCTAACGCGTCGACCCCCGCTACAGAGGACAGAGATGGGAGGAATCACCTGTGGCTTTACTATGGGTAAAGATGGCGGCGTTGAGGAGGGAGCGCGTCTTGCCCTGTTCCTGCTCGACTTTGACTTTTTTGCGTTTTAATTATTACTTTGTTTGCGCAGAATGTTCGTGCAGTAATTTCCAATAACAATCCGTCCAATGCTGAGAGCCCGTACTGCAGCATTCAATGTCAGCAGAACGAACCCCGATGACTCGGTGGCGTGCGACGCGTACAAGGCAAATCCATTAAGGACACAAAAAAGACAATACAGCCTCTAACTTGAATTAATGTGAAACTCAGACTTGCGTCGCATGTGGCGAGGACTACAGACTACCACAGACTACAAAGGCAAAATCCAGATGTGCGGTGCCCACCGACGCCTCCCTCCCAGACGAGCTTAACACATTCTATGCTCGCTTCGAGGCAAACCGCTGACAATCCAGGAAGACTCTCACTGCTCCAGACGACCAGGTGCTTTCACTCTCCGAGGTTCAACGTGAGGAAAACTCAAAAGAGTGAATCTTCCCAAAGCCACCGGCCCAGATGGCATCCCTGAGCCACCTCAGAGTGTTTGCTGACCATCTTCAACCTGTGCCTGTCCCAGGCTGTGGAAACCACCATCGTTCCAGTGCCCAAGGAAAAACAAGGTGACATGCCCAAATGACTATTGCCCTGTCGCGCTCACCTCGGTCATCATGAAGTGCTTCGAGAGGCTGGTCATGGCCCACATCAAGGCCCGGCACACTGGAACCACTCCAATCTGCCCACCGCTCCAACAGATTCACGGAAGATGCCATTTCCACGGCTATTCACACGGCCACATCTGGACAAGAGGAACACTTATGTGAGAATGCTGTTTGGTGACTACAGTTCAGTATTCGACACTGTTGTTCCTTCCAAGCTCGACCCCCAACCTCAGAGCCCTGGGTCTGGACACCGCCCCCTACAGCTGTATCCTGGACTTCCTGATGGGCAGACCACATGGTGTGAAGATTGGCAACAACACCCTTAACACAGGAGCCCCCCAGGGGTGTGTCCTCAGTCCTCTGCTGGACTCCCTGTTCACCCACGACTGCGCGGCTTTGCACGACACCAACTCCATCATCAAGTTTGCTGACGACGCCACGGTTGTAGTCCTGGTAACCAACAACGATGAGTCAGCCTATAGGCAAGGAGGTCAGTGAACTGACGTTGTGGTGTCATGACAACTTCTCCCTCAACGTCAGCAAAACAAAGGAGTGATTGTTGACTTCAGGAAGCAGAGGAGGGAACATGCCCCGATCCACATCATCGGGACTTCAGTAGAGTGCTGAAGCGCGTAAAAAAATTGTCTGTCCTCGGTTGCAACACTCACTACCGAGTTCCAAACTGCTTCTGGAAGCAACATCAGCACAAGAACTGTTCGTCGGGAGCTTCATGAAATGGGTTTCCATGTCCGAGCAGCCGCACACAAGCCTAAGATCACCCTGCGCAATGCCAAGCGTTGGCTGGAGTGGTGTAAAGCTCGCTGCCGTTGGACTCTGGAGCAGTGGAAATGCGTTCTCTGGAGTGATGAATCACGCTTCACCATCTGGCAGCTCGACAGAAGAATCTGGGTTTGGCGGATGCCAGGAGAACGCTTCTTGCCCGAATGCATAGTGACAACTGTAAAGCTTGGTGGAGGAGGAATAATGGTCTGGGGCTGTTTTTCATGGTTTGGGCTTGGTCCCTTAGTTCCAGTGAAGAGAAATCTTAATGCTACAGCATACAATGACATTCGAGACGATTCTGTGCTTCCAACTTTGTGGCTACAGTTTGGGGAAGGCCCTTTCCTGTTTCAGCATGACAATGCACAAAGCAAGGTCCATACAAAAATGGTTTGTCGAGATTGGTGTGGAAGAACTTCACTGGCCTGCACAGAGCCCTGTCCTCAACCCCATCGAACAGCTTTGGGATGAATTGGAACGCCGACTGCGAGCCAGGCCTAATCGCCCAACATCAGTGTCCGACCTCGCTAATGCTCTTGTGGCTGAATGGAAGCAAGTCCCCCGCAGCAATGTTCCAACATCTAGTGGAAAGCGTTCCCAGAAGATCGGAGGCTGTTATAGCAGAAAAGGGGGGGGGGACCAACTCCACATTAATGCCCACGACTTTGGAATGAGATGTTCGACAAGCAGGTGTCCACATACATTTGGCCATGTAGTGTACATTCATGCTACACACACATCACACCTGCTGCTACCAGACTCTTATTATACAGCTTATTATACTTTATACACTACCCCCCCCCCTTCCCCAATACACGTGTAAATATTATAAATGGTTCCTTCCTGTATTATACTGATGCTAAAATGTATATTCTATTCTACTGAGACATTTACTTTATTTGTGTTTTTATTTCTTATTGTTGCACTGTCGAAGGAACCTGCAAGTAAGCATTTCAATGGACCAAGCATATCCAATGCATACGACTAATAAAACGTGAAACTTGGTCCTATTCATTTAAGGTGTGTAACGGAAAAACATTACGAAGCGTTTCGCAATTGGAAAATGTGCGTTTTTTTTTTTTTTTTTTTTTTTTTTTTTTTTTTTTTAATTCGACCACAGGTCCAGGTAGTCCCGGTCTGTTTCATTCTCTGTATCTGGGCTAAGGGGAACGTTTTAAGTGTGTGCCTTTTTGTGTCACGTAGGAGCTGCAGTATGCTGAGGAAGAAAGCCACCGTGCCAAGACCACACTGCAGAGTCGCATCAAGGATCGGGAGGATGAGATGCAGAAGCTCAGGAACCAGGTAAACAATCACTCTTATACATCGTCAAATCCAATCTTTATTTAAAGTGCATTCAAAAACACAATAAAAATAAAATAAAATAAAACATGAAGGAGAAGAAAAACTGTAAATTTTAACTTTCATCAATGTAATTGTCTGCATCACTTCCAATCCCCCATATATATTATTGTAAATATATACAGAACCAGTCAAAAGTTTGCACACACCTACTCATTCAAGGGTTGTTCCTTTATGTGTACTATTTTCTACATTGTAGAATAATAGTGAAGACATCAAAACTATGAAATAACATACATGGAATCAAAAAAAGTGCAATTTCTGAGGTGCAGTTAACTCTAATGAACTTATCCTCTGCAGCAGAGGTAACTCTGGGTCTTCCTTTCCTGTGGCGGTCCTCATGAGAGCCAGTTTCATCATAGCGCTTGATGGTTTTTGCGACCGCACTTGAAGGAACTTTCACAGCTCTTGAAATGTTCCGTATTGACTGACCTTCATGTCTTAAAGTAATGATGGACTGTCGTTTCTCTTTGCTTATTTGAGCTGTTCTTGCCATTTTTAATATGGACTTGGTCTTTTACCAAATAGGGCTATCTTCTGTATACCCCCCGTACTTTGTCACAACACAGCTGATTGGCTCAAACGCATTAAGAAGGAAAGAAATTCCACAAATTAACTTTTTGAAGAAGGCACACCTGTTAATTGAAATGCATTCCAGGTGACTACCTCATGAAGCTGGTTGAGAGAATGCCAAGAGTGTGCAAAGCTGTCGTCAAGGCAAAGGGTGGCTATTTGAAGAATCTCAAATATAAAATATATTTTGATTTGTTTAACACTTTTTTGGTTACTACGTGATTCCATATGTGTTAGTTCATAGTTTTGATGTCTTCACTATTATTCTACAATGTAGAAAATAATCAAAATAAAGAAAAACCCTTGAACGAGTAGGTGTGTCCAAACTTTTGACTGGTACTGTATATATATATAATATTGTGTACTTTATTGACATTCTACTGCATTGTTAGGAGCTAGGAACATAAGCATTTCACTTCACGCGTTATAACATCTGCTAAACCGTATGCTACTAACAAACTTATTTGATTTTAGAAGTAGCACAAGTAATGTTGTTACATTTCCCTCCCTCCCTCCCTCCCTCCCTCCCTCCCTCCCTCCCTCCTCTCTCCCTTCCCTCCCCCCTCCCTCCCTCCCTCCCTCCCCTCCCTCCTCTCTCTCTCCTCCCCTCCCTCCTCTCTCTCTCCTCCTCCTCCCTCTCCCTCCCCCTCCCCCCCCTCCCTCCCCTCTCCCCCCTCCCTCCCCCTCCCCTCCCTCCCCCCCTCCCTCCCCCTCCCTCCCTCCCCCCCCTCCCTCCCCCCTCCTACCTAGTTGACCAATAAGGCTCTGAGCAGCAGTAGCCAGGTGGAACTGGAGAGCAGGTTGCACCAGCTGACCGAGACGCTGATCCAGAAACAGACCGTGCTGGAGTCCCTGGGAACAGAGAAGAGCTCACTGCTCTTCCAGCTAGAGAGGCTGGAGGCCCAGCTGAAGAGCGTCCAGGGAGGAGGGCAGACCGGGGGGCCGGCCATTAACATGAGCAGCATGGAGAGCCCAGGTGAGGCTGGGACTGCGTCTCAAATGGCCCCCTTATTCCCTATGTACGGTAGTACACTACTTTTCACTAGCTCAGGTGAGACTAATGTCATGTGGATAGATATGACTAGGTCGCCTGGTTGTCCCAGATCTGGTAATGATGTATAGCCAACTCCTTTAGGTGTATTGGTCTGGGTCCAGGCTAATGGCTAGTTTTGGGGGGGGGGGGGGGGGGGATTATATATATATATATTTTTTTTAAACACTCCAGGCCACTCTTGAACGTCTAAAACTATATTGAAATTATAATGGACCTATATATTTTCAAATAACTGCCCTTTTTGTTTTTGACGAACAAATTGGTCCGGAAATAAATCTCTGCTGCCCTCCGCTGAATTTTCAAATCCTGGTGTGGCCCTCGAGACAAAATGATTGCCCACCCCTGGACTAAATGGTCAGCCAGCTTAAAGTAGTACTTTTCTTGATGCTAAAAGCTAACTTTATTTGATAGATCGTCATTGCAAGTAAATAAATACATTTGATTTGAGATTTAAGAAGCTTTTTTTTTTTTGTATTTGATGAACAAGCACTCAACACTCGAGCTCTTTCCTTGATTTATTTTGTGTTCAGATGGCCTCTCAAATGTTTTGTACATGTAAAGCGTTTCCCACATTAAGAGCAGAGGGAGGGAAATCTCTTGTGCTCACTGAGCGTACATGAATGACGGAAACTCTTTCCACACTCGGATCCTGTGTGGATCCGCTGGTGGCTTTTAAGATCGCTGGTGTCGGCAAATGTCTTCCCACATTCAGTGCAGTGCCGTGCCTGGTGTCTCTTTTTAAAAAAAGTTTTATCTGATGGTGAAGCTCTTCCTGCATCCGTCACAGATGTGTGGTCTTTTCTCAGTGTGAGTTATCGTGTGTCTTTTCAGCAGGTGTTTTTTGACAGGAAGCATTTCCACGTTGCTGGCAACTGTGTGGTCTATCTCCTGTGTGTGTTTGCAGATGCACATCAAGGTGTCGCTTGTGAAGATCACTCTTTCCACGCAGATCACAAAAAATGATTTTTTTTTTCAATCTATCTTTCCATCTCCTTTGTGTGTTTTGCTCGGATCATTTCCATGTGTTTTGGTGGGTTGGGAACATGTTTTATTCAGATCTTCTGTGCATTTTTAGGAGGTCCTCTGTCTGACATTGTGGTGAACAAGCCACAACTCCCCTCACAGCTAGATGCTATAGGAAAGCACACAACAAAACAGTGTTATTCCATGTGAAATTGACTAAACGTGGCCATGAAATTCATCTTTTATTTTTATTTTTTTTAGAACATAGACAACATGCTTTAGGTGTTTCTAGATGACCTTTTTGTGACATCTGCATAAAATCATAACTGAGAAATGTTTCATCAAAGAAATCTGTAGATGAAAATTTGCATTGTAGATGAAAAATGTGCAGTGTGTGTGCTCACTTCTCAGAATACTAATTGAAATAATAAATTTGAGTCTGCACAACGTTTTTTCAGAGATTGTTGCAACATTGTAACCTTGGAGACTACTGCCACTTATGAGGGAGCGTCTATCAAGACCGCTATGTGAAATTCCATTGCTAGGATTTGAGGAAACGACTAGCGTTTAACAAAAGCACACCAGTTTGTCATAATCTATAATAATGTTAATTATATAGTATGCCGTTTAGCAGACACTTTTTTTTAATCCAAAGCGACTTAGTCATGCATGCATACATTTGACGTAATGGGTGGTCCCGGGGATCGAACCCACTACCCTGGCGTTACAAGCGCCGTGCTCTACCAACTGAGCTACAGAGGACCACCCAATGTTACCACTCAGCCACCAGACACACCTCCATAAATAATGTGTAGCCCCAAGCTACATACTCTTTACAACAGCAAACCGGTGCACAGACATATCTCAACATAGACCTACTGTATCAAAGCGAGATACGTTTCAAAATCGTTGGTTGTTGACCCTTGTATGACTTCCTTCTTAATGGGCTTCAACCATACTGGTTATCTTCTTAATCCCGCCTCCAATTGAATGTCATTGGTTCTTTTTAGATATATTTTTATTTATTTAATTGTCCTTGTTTCAGATCAACATCATAACAAATTGTACGTATCTTTCAATAACAAGAAGAAACAAGATGACATTAAACATGGCATAACCAACAGAACTAAACAAAACTGATTCACTTTCAGTTCTCTGCTCGTACAATGTTTCATTACCCCTAAAGTTATTTATTTTTATTGTCTTTATTAAGTTAACTGTAGCGTAGAGGCCTTACAGCTATACAACAAGAAAAATACAATTGTACAACAAGAAATACAGCTATACAACAAAAATACAACAAGAAAAATACAGCTATACAACAAAATACAGCTGTACAACAAGAAAAATAAGAAAATTACAGCTATGCAACAAAAATATTACAGCTATACAAGAAAAAATACAGCTGTACAAGAAAATTACAGCTATACAACAATAACAATTACAGCTATACACAACAAAAAAAGTACATTTATACAACCAGAAAATTACAGCTATACAACAAGAAAGCGAAATCAAAATGACCAGAGTCCAGTTGTACATTTTGAAGACCTATAGATTCACAATATTTTTTTATATTGACACTTCTCGAGGTATCTGCAAGATTAGCGGGAACAGATAGCAAAAAGGAATCCCATAAGTCTTGTTCCTTGTTCCTAAATATAGCACTAATTTTCTCCAGTGGCAGGACTTTAAAGATCTCACAATTCCACTAATTTATCGTTCGTGGCTCTGGTCTTTTTATCCAGTCCAAGAGAATGCATTTGCAGGGCTTTTTTTTAAAAGGATATTGAGCAGATTTGGAAGCTGAGATGTTACTAGCAAAATATGTTTCTGAGATTTGTTTATGATTTCACCATAACCCCTTGGATGGCAGGACTGAAGCCTTTTTTATGTTGACCTCACACAGGGACACGACAGAGGAATGCACCAATCCTGTTCAACGACCATGACAGTCCAGGAGTGTATGGCCAGGTACGGAAGGCAGCCAGCACTATCGACCGGTTCAGGTGAGCTATAACACCAGAGGGTTGGCTGGATCAAAACACACTTTTTACAGACAGGACAGAAACGGGTAGACAGGCCAGAGACCTTCAGGTCTCTGTTATGTTTGTTCTTAGTCTCTGGAATGTTACCACTCAACCACACAGGCCTTACCTCAAGTTAAGTTTGAGGAATTGTTTTGGTATTGTTAACTTGTCACAATACATGAGCTATTTCTTTTTTTTTTCTTTTTTTTTTATATATATTTTGCGACGCTGTATTCAGATTTTATAGACACAAATGTTTACCATTCAACCACACGAGTGTCACATCATATCTCACAATTCGACAACAAACCAAAAAAATCTTGTCCTTCCAGCATCCGATTAGGAATCTTCCTGAGACGCTACCCCATGGCTCGGGTTTTTGTAATACTGTATATGGTGAGTTGTTTTACACACTCTTTTGTTCAAAATGTCACAATGATCTTAAGCCCAGTTGAATCAACTGAAATGTCTGTGGGCCCATTTTGTGTTTGTTTCAGGCGCTACTGCACCTGTGGGTCATGGTTGTCCTGTTGACCTATTCACCAGAGATGCACGAGATCCACGACGTTCCTGGAGGGAGATAGAACATGAATGATGTCATAATAGATATGTTGTTGTGATCTGGGGTAAGGTGAAGACGTGTTCTCCTTGTCGTCGAAGACTAGCCTGGTGCCAGATCTGTTTCTGCTGTTCACACCTGCCTACCATGCACGCAACTTTAGGTCAAAGTACGCTGGTATGAAGAAAAAAAAAAACGACCCTAAAATAATAGCAAAAATAGCCTTTTAGTTGGCAAATTTGTGGCTTTTGACTCAACCGTCTGAAGTTGGAGCAGAGCCAATCGGAGGACTTGGGCGAGGAGGAAAAATCTCAAGCTCTCGGCTCCAGCCCCACCCCCCCACCCCAAAGTCGCTGTACTATTTTCCTCCCTCAAGCTAGATGGCAGCACTCCACTTCGTCCGTTGATACCACTGATGTGTGAGGGAAAATGGAGAAAGAATTGTTTGCTTAATACATTTTCCAAAATTGTATGTGTTACTCAAGCACATAACCACTATTATTTCCTAGTTCGCTCCTTAGTCAAGGCGTGTCATTACGACGGAAGTAGTTAGCTACAGCGTTTATGAAACTAACCGAGGACGCTTTCTTGCCCCGCACATCCTTTGATCCCCCGCAAACCGTAGTAGGCACGAGCGCGTTGACGAGCAAGGAAACGTGCGCGTCGCTGCTTGGATGGAAACAGACATGGCGGGGAGGGCTCTTCCCCTAGTACCCAATAAGAAAGCCATGTTGGACGTGTAAAGATTAGCAGGCCTGTGTTTTAATGAATCAGTTGTGGATCTGTCCTCGTCCATATAGCTGGAGGTCAACTGTAGGCTGCTAATGATGTCATAATAGCCAGTTCACCAATGACGACAACATTTTCATTACATTTACATTTCAGTCATTTTAGCAGACGCTCTTATCCAGAGCGACTTACAGGAGCAATTAAGGGTTAAGTGCCTTGCTCAAGGGCACATCGACAGATTTTTCCAGCGACCTTTAGAACCAGTGACCTTTCGGTTACTGGCACAACGCTCTTAACCACTAAGCTAACTGCCGCCACAAGGCATGTTGAATGAATGGTAGCCTAGTAGTCTGACCTGATGGATGAGGTCAGGGATGGAGATCTGAAACAAGCTCATCTAGGCCTCGTTCAATTTGTTTCATATTCCAAATAGCCTACAGTAAGCTAGACTAATACATTGCATCCAGTAATTTAATTATTCAGAATATTCTCCACAAACAAAAATGAAGCCAATTTACACTTTCATAAGACTATCCACATAAAGACACCTATTCATTAGAATAATCATTGCCCCTAAATGTAATTTCAAGTGTCATTGAGGCCACCTCAATTTTAATTTAGGATCAAACACAAGACTACATTGTTAATACTACATAATTTAAGACTCTAGGTTTCAGGAAATGGCAGTTGAAGGTTTACATTTTTTTATTCATAATGCTCCAAAAATTCAAAATGCTCCAACTTCCTGAGGGGGAAGTTGACTGACCCCTCCGGACCCCGCATGACAATGACGGCACAAATAGATCTGGGACCAAAGGCTAGTTGGAGTAGGGATGGGGCAAGCTGCTGATAATGACTCTTGGAGCTCGTTGGTTCCTTTTTGATTTGTACAGAACTGACATGATGGCAACTCTATGGGACACTGACTGACTTATAATCACCTTTTCCCTGTTATCCCCCTCTAAGGGTGGCGAAATTCATATAACTTTCCCCAAATTCCCAGGTTTTCCAGACATCCTCGTTGGAGGTTTCCTGGAATCAGGAGAATAACCAAGGAGGGAATCAACTAACTGGAATCCTCCAACCAGGATTTCTGGAAAACCTGGGACTTTTTCTGAAAGTTACCAGAATTGGTGCAACCCTACCCGAAGATCCACAGATTATTCACAGTAGAATGGGTTTTTATAGCTATTGTGCAGTCAGACGCTGGTGGGCCGGTGCAGTGATGATGGCGTATTCATTAAAGTTATATTAATTTCTCCTCATCCCTTCTCCTGTATGACGTTACCCTCGCTATCTTAAATCTGTTTATTTTCCCCCTTAGAAACGACGTCTCCATCCACAGTTTTTATGCAAGCAAAGCTGTGATGGAAACCTGAAAGTTTCGGTGCGATCTTTTTGTGTCTGTAAAATTAATTACGCGAGAAATTGAAGTGGAAAACGTCTTTTTATGCGCAAATATCGATATAATAACTATCATATCGACGTAAACTTTGAGTCACGCGATGATATGGTGTGTGGTCCTCCCACTACGACTCGGGAAAACCATGCAGGTTATTAGGCTACAGATGAAATAAGTTATGATGAACTTCACAGGGTGGTGAAAGGGCACGGTGATGAGCTTGATGCTCCTTTCCAATAAATATTGAGAGTCTCTTATTCTGGTGACATGATGATCGACGCTTGACTGCTGTTTGACAAATAGAAATGTGCATATTTTCTTTATGCGGATTCTAGAATATTCACATGAAAATCTGTCTCCAACTGGATGGAAACCTAGCTACTGAGATTGTATTTAAATGTGAAAAGGATTATTTTAATAAACATCAACTCTCAAGATGAAAACGATGTTTTTTTTTTGTTTCATTTATCTGTGGATGCATAAACGATTTGCTTCAGTTAAAACACATCACTGCTTTTCTTAGCAGTGCAAACTACCATGCTGTAGATGAATCATCATAATAATAATAACAATAATAAGTCTCTGGCAGAGTACCAGGACTTCCACTGCCATGTTTACCCAAGTCACATGCATTTGTGTTCTGTATGTGTTGTGAATACCACCCTGTTTTTATTAAGCACCTAATTTAAAACCTTTCTTACATGGCGGTGAGGTGCTTTTTTGATGTTTTGGATTTTGAGTTCCCCCTGTGTGCATTTTGTTGTGAGTTTAAAATAATGAGAATTGTTGAAAGCCTTTCCCTCTGCTATCACCATCAGCCTGTTTTCAAATGTGTACATGTCTTTGTTTTATTGTACAATGGATGTTTTTGTTTATTGTGGCAACTTCTATAATATGTATACTCCTGAGTGGCGCAGTGGTCTAAGGCACTGCATCGCAGTGCTAACTGTGCCACTAGAGATCCTGGTTCGTATCCAGGCTCTGTCGCCGCCGGCCGCGACCGGGAGACTCATGGGCGGCGCACAATTGGCCCAGCGTCGTCCAGGGTAGGGGAGGGAATGGCCGGCAGGGATGTAGCTCAGTTGATAGAGCATGGCGTTTGCAACGCCAGGGTTGTGGGTTCGATTCCCACGGGGGGCCAGTATAAAAAAAAAATGTATTCACTAACTGTAAGTCGCTCTGGATAAGAGCGTCTGCTAAATGACTAAAATGTAAATGTAAATGTATACAACTTGTATAGGTTTTGATTGATAATCAAATGATACGTTTTTGATAATCTGAAATATCTCTGGGGCATTTCCTCCTCACTCTGACCAAAAGAAGAACTTGCAGTGAGATGTGTTCCTCTGTAGCTCAATTGGTAGAGCACGGCGCTTGTAACACCCAGGGTAGTGGGTTCGATCCCCGGACCACCCATACGTAAAAATGTATGCACACATGACTGTAAGTCGCTTTGGATAAAAGCGTCTGCTAAAAAAAATAAAAATTAAATAATAATAATTCCTCTTTATACTCAACTGATTTTGAAACTATTGTAGGCCTTCATATACCCTGTCGAACAACGAGAGGTGAGCCCCTGCAAGCACTGACCTGGCCAACTGCATAACCTACCTGGCCAACTGCATAACCTACCTGGCCAACTGCATAACCTACCTGGCCAACTGCATAACCTACCTGGCCAACTGCATAACCTACCTGGCCAACTGCATAATCTACCTGGCCAACTGCATAACCTACCTGGCCAACTGCATAACCTACCTGGCCAACTGCATAATCTACCTGGCCAACTGCATAACCTACCTGGCCAACTGCATAACCTACCTGGCCAACTGCATAATCTACCTGGCCAACTGCATAATCTACCTGGCCAACTGCATAATCCACCTGGCCAACTGCATAATCTACCTGACTCTACCTACACTGCATGACCAAAAGTACACCTGCTCGTCAAACATCTCATTCCAAAATCTTGGGCATTAATATGGAGTTGGTCCCCCCTTTGCTGCTATAACAGCCTCCACTCTTCTGGGAAGGCTTTCCACTAGATGTTGGAACATTGCTGCGGGGACTTGCTTCCATTCTGCCACAAGAGCATTAGTGAGGTCGGGCACTGATGTTGGGCAATTAGGCTCGCAGTCAGCGTTCCAATTCATCCCAAAGGTGTTCGATGGGGTTGAGGTCAGGGCACTGTGCAGGCCAGTCAAGTTCTTCCACACCGATCTCGACAAACCATTTCTGTATGGACCTCGCTTTATGCACAGGGGAATTGTCATGCTGAAACAGGAAAGGGCCTTCCCCAAACTGTTTCCACCAAGTTGGAAGCACATAATATTCTAGAATGTCATTGTATGCTGAAGCGTTAAGATTTTCCCTTCACTGGAAACTAAGGGGCCTAGTCCCAACCATGAATAACAGCCCCAGGCCATTATTCCTCCTCCACCGAACTTTACAGTTGGCACTATGCATTGGGGCAGGTAGCGTTCTCCTGGCATCCGCCAAACCCAGATTTTTCAGTTGGACTGCCAGACAGTGAAGTGTGATTCATCACTCCAGAGAATGCGTTTCCACTACTCCAGAGTCCAATGGCTGCAAGCTTTACACCACTCCAGCCAACGCTTGGCACTGCACATGGTGATCTTAGGCTTGTGTGCGGCTGCTCAGCCATGGAAACCCATTTCATGAAGCTCCTGACAAACAGTTATTGTGCTGATGTTGCTTGTTTGGAACTCGATAGCGAGTGTTGCAACCGAGGACAGGCGATTTGTACGCGCTTCAGCACTCGGCTGTCCCGTTCTGTGAGCTTGTGTGGCCTACCAGTTCGCGGCTGAGCCGTTGTTGCTCCAAGACGTTTCCACTTCACAATAACAGCCCTTACAGTTGACCGGGGCAGCTCTAGCAGGGCAGAAATTTGACGAACTGACTTGTTGTAAAGGTAGCATCCTATGACGGTGCCACGTTGAAAGTCACGGAGCTCTTCAGTAAGGCCATTCTACTGCCAATGTTTGTCTATGGAGACTGCATGGCTGTCAGCAACGGGTGTTGCTGAAATAGTTGAATCCACTACTTTGAAGGGGTGTCCATATACTTTTATATATATAGTGTATAAAATGTTTCAAAGGATAATATATAGTTGGCTGGGTTTTCCGTGCATCGGCAAGACAGAACAGCTACTTCCGGTAAGACGAGGGGTTGTGGTCTGTCTATTTGTCATTAACATATATATTTGTAAACAACAGCTGGTGCGCGAAATGTAATATTAAAGAAGTGTCAAGGTTTTGCTCGCCTGAGGTAGAGAACCTCACACTATTTACCAAGAGAGTTTTCATCTATATTTTTTGTAACTGTCTATTTACCACCACAAACCAATGCTGGCACTAAGACCGCACTCAATGAGCTTTATAAGGCCATAAGCAAACAGGAAAACGCTCATCCAGAGGCAGCACTCCTAGTGGCCGGGGACTTTAATGAAGGGAAACTTAAATCCGTTTTACCTCATTTCTACCAGCATGTTAAATGTGCAACCAGAGGAAAATAAACTCTAGACCACCTTTACTCCACACACAGAGATCCGTACAAAGTTCTCCCTCGCCCTCAATTTGGCAAATCTGCCATTAATCTATTCTCCTGATTCCTGCTTACAATCAAAAACTAAAGCAGGAAGCACCAGTGACTTGGCCAATAAAAAAGTGGTCAGATGATGCAGATGCTAAGCTACAGGACTGTTTTGCTAGCACAGACTGGAATATGTTCCAGGATTCATCTGATGGCATTGAGGAGTACACCACATCAGTCACTGGCTTCATCAATAAGTGCATTGATGACGTCGTCCCCACAGTGACCCTACGTACAAACCCCAACCAGAAGCCATGGATTACAGGCAACATCCGCACTGAGCTAAAGGGTAGAGCGGCTTGCAAACTATTACTGACTACAAAGGGAAACTCAGTCACGAGCTGTCCAGTGACACCAGCCTACCAGACGAGCTAAATGACTTCTATGCATGCTTCGAGGCAAGCAACACTAAAGCATGAATGAGAGCACCAGCTGTTCCGGACGACTGTGTGATTACGCTCTCCATAGCCGATGTGAGTAAGACCTTTAAACAGGTCAACATTCACAAGACCGCAGGGCCAGACGGATTACCAGGACGTGTACTCAGAGCATGCGCTGACCAACTGGCAAGTGTCTTCACTGACATTTTCAACCTGTCCCTGACCGAGTCTGTAATACCTACATGTTTCAAGCAGACCACCATAGTCCCTGTGCCCAAGAACGCCAAGGTAACCTGCCTAAATGACTACCGACCTGTAGCACTCACATATGTAGCCATGAAGTGCTTTGAAAGGCTGGTCATAGCTCACATCAACACCATCATCCCAGAAACCCTAGACCCACTCCATAACGCCCCAACAGATCCCCAGATGATGCAATCTCTATTGCACTCCACACTGCCCTTTCCCACCTGGACAAAAGGAACACCTATGTGAGAATGCTATTCATTGACTACAGCTCACCGTTCAACACCATAGTGCCCTCCAAGCTCATCACTAAGCTAAGGACCCTGGGACTAAACACCTCCCTCTGTAACTGGATCCTGGACTTCCTGACGGGCCCCCCCAGGTGGTAAGGGTAGGCAACAACACATCTGCCACACTGATCCTCAACACGGGGGCCCTTCAGGGATGCGTGCTTAGTCCCCTCCTGTACTCCCTGTTCACCCACGACTGCATGGCCAGGCATGACTCCAACACCATCATTAAGTTTGCTGACGACACAACGGTGGTAGGCCTGATCACCGACAACGAAGAGACAGCCAATAGGGAGGAGGTCAGAGACCTGGCAGTGTGGTGCCAGGAAAACAACCTCTCTCTCAACTTGATCAAGACAAAGTAGCTGATCGTGGACTACAGGAAAAGGAGTGCCGAGCACGCCCCCATTCACATCGACGGGGCGTTGTGGAGCAGGTTGAGAGCTTCAAGTTCCTTGGTGTTCACTTCACCAACAAACTATCATGGTCCAAACACACCAAGACAGTCGTGAAGAGGGCTCGACAATGCATATGCCCCCTCAGGAGACTGAAAAGATTTGGCATGGGTCCTCAGATCCTCAAAAAGTTATACAGATACACCATCGAGAGCATCCTGACTGGTTGCATCAACGCCCGGCATCCGACCGCAAGGCGCTACAGAGCGTAGTCCGTACTGCCCAGTACATCACTGGGGCCAAGTTCCCTGACATCCAGGACCTCTATACTAGGCGGTGTCAGAGGAAGGCCCTCAAAATTGTCAAAGACTCCAGCCACCCTAGTCAGACTGTTCTCTATGCTACCGCACGGCAAGCGGTACCGGAGCGCCAAGTCTAGGTCCAAAAGTCTCCTTAACAGCTTCTACCAAAAGCCATGTGGGAGACTCCCCAAACATATGGAAGAAGGTACTCTGGTCAGATGAAACTAAAATTGAGCTTTTGGGCCATCAAGGAAAACGCTGTCTGGCACAAACGTTGTAGAATAATAGTGAAGACATCAAAACTATGAAATAACACATATGGAATCATGTAGTAACCAAAAAAGTGTTCAACAAATCAAAGTATATTTTATATTTGAGATTCTTAAAATAGCCAGCCTTTGCCTTGATGACAGCTTTGCACACTCTTGGCATTCTCTCAACCAGCTTCATGAGGTAGTCACCTGGAATGCATTTCAATTAACAGCTTCTACCGCCAAGCCATAAGACTGCTGAACAGTTAATCAAATGGCTACCCGGACTATTTGCATTAACCCCCCTGCTGCTGTTACTCGCTGTTTATTATCTATACATAGTTTGATTTGATTATATTTGAACATTTGATTTGATTTGATCATTGCCTTACAAAAAGGTCATATGAACTTGCAAAAAAATATCATAGGAACATATTGTGGGCGTTTACTTTTGACTGGAATCTATGTATGAAATCTACATTATGGAGAAAAGCGCATTATAATTTCCATGACAGCATTTAATAACAGTGTGGAAAGCATTGCTGTCTTGAATGCGCTCCTAGTGTTGTGTCCCTCCAACATCCCATGATTCCGTGTTGCGGCTGGGCTGTCCACGTCAAGCTCTCTCTGGTGACAGCACAGCACCAAGCTGAGATGGCAGACTTTAGTGCGTTGTCTGAACCGGTAAATACATACACGATAAAGACGACTGATATAACAGACCAGATAATCTTTCTCGTTAATGTTATGCGGATCATCCAGTATCGAGCTTGTTTAGGTTCGTAAATCCACCGGGACTAGTCTGACTGCAGTGAGTGACATGTCCTGCTAGCAAGCCGAGGTTAGCATACTAGCTATCCAGCCAACTACAGTAGCTAGCTTGCCAACCAGTTTCACTCTACCAAATTGACAACTTCACAAAGGTGACAAAAGCTAGTTTTTTTTTTTAAAAAAAAGTACAAGAATTCACAAAGAACGTTTCTATGAGTTTTGACAAGAGAGCTGAATTGTATGAGGGTAGGGTCAAAGTCGATCGCCACCTTACCAGCTAGCTAGCCTAACTTCAGCTAGCCAGTGTTCGGCCTGTTTGTTATTGTTTAGCTAACTAGCTAGTTATTCTCGAAGATGTCATCGTGGCTGGGTGGATTGGGCTCCGGCCTGGGCCAGTCTCTCGGCCAGGTCGGAGGAAGCCTCTCCTCATTCACCGGACAAATATCCACCTTCACCAAAGATATGCTTCTGGAAGGAGTTGAAGAAGTCGGAGGTGAGTGAAATCATATGGCAGAAGCTACCTACGGTAGGTACCCCCAGTAACAGCCAGCAGGGCACTCAAGTCAGCAGGAAAGTAATAGCTAGAAGCGGTTTCAGTTCTCTACATCAGTGGCTCTCGCATCTCTCCTCGGGGACCCCCAGCTGTTCCATGTGTTTAAATATATTCCAGAGTTAGCAGACCTGATTCAACTCGTCAACTAATCTTCAAGCCCTTGGCTAGGTGAATCAGCTGAGCTAGTTCAGGGTTACAACAAAACTGAAACCTCTGGGAGAGGAGAGGTTTGAGAAGCACTGTGCTACATGCCATGTTGCTTGTTGGTTATTCTATAACCGGACTACAGTATGCCTAATCAAGAGGGCTTTCTATTTGAGCTGTGATCAGATTCCAAGATTGCAATATGAGCATACCATATCAGCACCAACCAAAACATAAACCATGGAGAAAATGCATCTCGGTAGAGGCCTACATTTTAACATGCGAATAGTATTTGATTTCTTATATATATATATATATATAAGAGAGAGAGAGCGAGAGAACCACAAATACAAATTCCATCTAGACACCGTTGCCCTAGAGCACACAAAAAACTATACATACCTCGGCCTAAACATCAGCGCCACAGGTAACTTTCACAAAGCTGTGAACGATCTGAGAGACAAGGCAAGAAGGGCCTTCTATGCCATCAAAAGGAACATAACATTCGACATACCAATTAGGATCTGGCTATAAATACTTGAATCAGTTATAGAACCCATTGCCCTTTATGGTTGTGAGGTCTGGGGTCCGCTCACCAACCAAGAATTCACAAAATGGGACAAACACCAAATTGAGACTCTGCATGCAGAATTCTGCAAAAATATCCTCTGTGTACAACGAAAAACACCAATTAATGCATGCAGAGCAGAATTAGGCCGATACCCGCTAATGATCAAAATCCAGAAAAGAGCTGTTAAATTCTATAACCACTTAAAAGGAAGCGATTCCCAAACCTTCCATAACAAAGCCATCACCTACAGAGAGATGAACTTGGAGAAGAGTCCCGTAAGTAAGCTGGTCCTGGGGCTCTGTTCACAAACACAAACAGACCCCACAGAACCCCAGGACAACAACAACAACAAAATTAGACCCAACCAAATCATGAGAAAACAAAAAGAGAATTACTTGACACATTGGAAAGAATTAACAAAAAAACAGAGCAAACTAGAATGCTATTTGGCCCTAAAAAGAGAGTACACAGTGGCAGAATACCTGACCACTGTGACTGACCCAAACTTAAGGAAAGCTTTGACTATGTACAGACTCAGTGAGCATAGCCGTGCTATTGAGAAAGGCTGCCGTAGGCAGACCTGGCTCTCAAGAGAAGAGAGGCTATGTGATTTTTATTTGGATTTCATGTAATGGACATACACAAAATAGTCCAAATTGGTGAAGTGAAATGAAAAAAATAACTTCTTTCAAAAAAATTCATAACAGGAAAGTGGTGCGTGCATATGTATTCACCCCCTTTGCTATGAAGCCCCTAAATAAGATCTGGTGCAACCAATTACCTTCAGAAGTCACATAATTAGTTAAATAAAGTCCACCTGTGTGCAATCTAAGTGTCACATGATATGAGTGAAAGGCCCCAGAGTCTGCAACACCACTAAGCAAGGGGCACCACCAAGCAAGCGGCACCATGAAGACCAAGGATCTCTCCAAACAGGTCAGGGACAAAGATGTGGAGAAGTACAGATCATGGTTGGGTTATAAGAAAATATCAGTAACTTTGAACATCCCACGGAGCACCATTAAATCCATTATTAAAAAATTGAAAGAAATGGCACCACAACAAACCTGCCAAGAGAGGGCTGCCCACCAAAACTCATAGACCAGGCAAGGAGGGCATTAATCAGAGAGGCAACAAAGAGACCAAAGATAACCCTGAAGGAGCTGCAAAGCTCCACAGCGGAAATTGGAGTATCTGTCCATAGGACCACTTTAAGCCGTACACTCCACAGAGCTGGGCTTTACGGAAGAGTGGCCAGAAAAAAAGCCATTGCTTAAAGAAAAAAATAAGCAAACATGTTTGGTGTTCGCCAAAAGCCATGTGGGAGACTCCCCAAACATATGGAAGAAGGTACTCTGGTCAGATGAAACTAAAATTGAGCTTTTGGGCCATCAAGGAAAACGCTATGTCTGGCACAAACGTTGTAGAATAATAGTGAAGACATCAAAACTATGAAATAACACATATGGAATCATGTAGTAACCAAAAAAGTGTTCAACAAATCAAAGTATATTTTATATTTGAGATTCTTCAAATAGCCAGCCTTTGCCTTGATGACAGCTTTGCACACTCTTGGCATTCTCTCAACCAGCTTCATGAGGTAGTCACCTGGAATGCATTTCAATTAACAGGTGTGCCTATTTAAAGTTAATTTGTGGAATTTCTTTCCTTCTTAATGTGTTTGAGCCAATCAGTTGTGTTGTGACAAGGTAGGGGGGTTATACAGAAGATAGCCCTATTTGGTAAAAGACCAAGTCCATATTATGGCAAGAACAGCTCAAATAAACAAAGAGAAATGACAGTCCATTATTACTTTAAGACATGAAGGTCAGTCAATACCGAAAATTTCATAAACTTTTAAAGTTTCTTCAAGTGCAGTCGCAAAAACCATCAAGCGCTATGATGAAACTGGCTCTCATGAGGACCGCCACAGGAATGGAAGACCCAGAGTTACCTCTGCTGCAGAGGATAAGTTCATTAGAGTTACCAGCCTCAGAAATTGCAGCCCAAATAAATGCTTCACAGAGTTCAAGTAACAGACACATCTCAACATCAACTCTTCAGAGGAGACTGTGTGAATCAGGCCTTCATGGTCGAATTGCTGCAAAGAAACCACTACTAAAGGACACCAATAATAAGAAGAGACTTGCTTGGGCCAAGAAACACGAGCAATGGACATTAGAACGGTGGAAATTTGTCCTTTTGGTCTGGAGTACAAATTGGAGATTTTTGGTTCCAACCGCCGTTTCTTTGTGAGACGCGGTGTGGGTGAATGGATGATCTCCGCATGTGTATTTCCCACCGTAAAGCATGGAGGAGGAGGTATTATGGTGTGGGGGTGCTTTGCTGGTGACACTGTGATTTATTTAGAATTCAAGGCACTCTTAACCTGCATGGCTACCACAGCATTCTGCAGCGATACGCCATCCCATCTGGTTTGGGCTTAGTGGGACTATCATTTGTTTTTCAACAGGACAATGACCCAACACACCTCCAGGCTGTGTAAGGGGTATTTTACCAAGAAGGAGAGTGATGGAGTGCTGCATCAGATGACCTGGCCTCCACGATTCCCTGACCTCAACCAAATTGAGATGGTTTGGGATGAGTCGGACGGCAGAGTGAAGGAAAAGCAGCCAGCAAGTGCTCACAATATGTGGGAACTCCTTCAAGACTGTTGGAAAAGCATTCCAGGTGAAGCTGGTTGAGAGAATGCCAAGAGTGTGCAAAGTTGTCAAGGCAAAGGGTGGCTATTTTGAAGAATCTCAAATATAAAATATATTTAGATTTGTTTAACACTTTTTTGGTTACTACATGATTCCATATGTGTTATTTCATAGTGTGGATGTCTTCACTATTATTCTACAATGTATAAAATAGTAAAAATAAAGAAAAACCCTGGAATGAGTAGGTGTGTCCAAACTTTTGACTGTGTGAATCAGGCCTTCATGGTCGAATTGCTGCAAAGAAACCACTACTAAAAGGACAGCCGTTTTTTTCCAAGAGATTTCTGTCTCCATACTTTAGTGTGTGGACGCTTTCATTAGTCCACTAATGTTGTCAAGAAAGAGTGCTGCTGCCATAAGTAAACCAGGTTTGACTGATAAACTTGTGACAGACGGAAACCACAGAGAACTTGGATCACTACATTCCAACAGACATATACTGTACGCAAAGCAAGATTAGGCATGACTGATGTCAGTAGCTCAGGGAGGGCTGTTTCAGTTCTGACATCAATGCACAGCCTACAGTACATTTTTAAATAAAATAAGTATATTACGTAACTATTGAGAACTTAGGCTAATTGGACTGAGATTAGTTAGAAAGTCTATTTTTGTTTGTGGGATCGTGTAGAGAGTGCTGGTGAAGGCATGTTTGTTTGCCTTAGAATGTTGTTTTGTCATGTGAATTACTTTTAAGGAGATCTCTTTATATGTGTCACATGTAGTTGACAACCCTGGTAGAGCCTCATAGCTGCCGGATAAATGAAATACCTCATCTCCTTCCAGACAATATCAGATTCCCTCGGAATGACAGTAGCCTATTTGAAAGGCACAGAAATCAATATTATATCAGTGTTTCCGGCCGTAACGGCAGTAAATGAAGATAGTTGCTAAGCGAAGATGCATATCTGGTGAGTAATTAACACATTTAGACATTATAACGCTTGCAGAGCTGTCTAATGGGAGTTTAATCTAGGTTCAGGACTGTTGATGCCACCATGGACTGTAAGTTAGGTTCAGGACTGTTACTGCCACCATGGACTGTAAGCTAGGTTCAGGACTGTTACTGCCACCATGGACTGTAAGTTAGGTTCAGGACTGTTACTGCCACCATGGACTGTAAGCTAGGTTCAGGACTGTTACTGCCACCATGGACTGTAAGCTAGGTTCAGGACTGTTACTGCCACCATGGACTGTAAGCTAGGTTCAGGACTGTTACTGCCACCATGGACTGTAAGCTAGGTTCAGGACTGTTACTGCCACCATGGACTGTAAGCTAGGTTCAGGACTGTTACTGCCACCATGGACTGTAAGCTAGGTTCAGGACTGTTACTGCCACCATGGACTGTAAGCTAGGTTCAGGACTGTTACTGCCACCATGGACTGTAAGCTAGGTTCAGGACTGTTACTGCCACCATGGTCAGAATGCAAATGAGGAGATGGAGCAGGATCCAGGTTTAGGGGGAGTTATTACACACACAGTTGAACACTGGAACGAACAGAGCACATGGGGGAGGGTTTTTGATGGAGGTTAGGATGAGGTTAGGAGTTGTGGCTTGTAAGGCCTGTAGGAAGCCAGGAAGGATGAGGTTAGGATGAGGTTAGGATGAGGTGGTCTACAAGGGAGATACAAAAGGGAAACATTAGGAACACGTCGCATAAAGGTGCAGACTTGACGAACTAGTGCCATGTAACTATGGGGATAATATGGGTTTAATATACTGTAACTACACACGTAGGAGACTGCCAGGAGAAACAACTTTCTGCCAGAGTATTTAGCATCATTACCAACTGAGGGCATGGATATACAGTGGGGGAAAAAAGTATTTAGTCAGCCACCAATTGTGCAAGTTCTCCCACTTAAAAAGATGAGAGAGGCCTGTAATTTTCATCATAGGTACACGTCAACTATGACAGACAAATTGAGGAAAAAAAATCCAGAAAATCACATTGTAGGATATTTAATGAATTTATTTGCAAATTATGGTGGAAAATAAGTATTTGGTCAATAACAAAAGTTTCTCAATACTTTGTTATATACCCTTTGTTGGCAATGACACAGGTCAAATGTTTTCTGTAAGTCTTCACAAGGTTTTCACACACTGTTGCTGGTATTTTGGCCCATTCCTCCATGCAGATCTCCTCTAGAGTAGTGATGTTTTGGGGCTGTCGCTGGGCAACACGGACTTTCAACTCCCTCCAAAGATTTTCTATGGGATTGAGATCTGGAGACTGGCTAGGCCACTCCAGGACCTTGAAATGCTTCTTACGAAGCCAATCCTTCGTTGCCCGGGCGGTGTGTTTGGGATCATTGTCATGCTGAAAGACCCAGCCACGTTTCATCTTCAATGCTCTTGCTGATGGAAGGAGGTTTTCACTCAAAATCTCACGATACATGGCCCCATTAATTATTTCCTTTACACGGATCAGTCGTCCTGGTCCCTTTGCAGAAAAACAGCCCCAAAGCATGATGTTTCCACCCCCATGCTTCACAGTAGGTATGGTGTTCTTTGGATGCAACTCAGCATTCTTTGTCCTCCAAACATGACGAGTTGAGTTTTTACCAAAAAGTTCTATTTTGGTTTCATCTGACCATATGACATTCTCCCAATCCTCTTCTGGATCATCCAAATGCACTCTAGCAAACTTCAGACGGGCCTGGACATGTACTGGCTGAAGCAGGGGGACACGTCTGGCACTGCAGGATTTGAGTCCCTGGCGGCGTAGTGTGTTACTGATGGTAGGCTTTGTTACTTTGGTCCCAGCTCTCTGCAGGTCATTCACCAGGTCCCACCATGTGGTTCTGGGATTTTTGCTCACCGTTCTTGTGATCATTTTGACCCCACGGGGTGAGATCTTGCGTGGAGCCCCAGATCGAGGGAGATTATCAGTGGTCTTGTATGTCTTCCATTTCCTAATAATTGCTCCCACAGTTGATTTTTTCAAACCAAGCTGCTTACCTATTACAGATTCAGTCTTCCCAGCCTGGTGCAGGTCTACAATTTTGTTTCTGGTGTCCTTTGACAGCTCTTTGGTCTTGGCCATAGTGGAGTTTGGAGTGTGACTGTTTGAGGTTGTGGACAGGTGTCTTTTATACTGATAACAAGTTCAAACAGGTGCCATTAATACAGGTAACGAGTGGAGGACAGAGGAGCCTCTTGAAGAAGAAGTTACAGGTCTGTGAGAGCCAGAAATCTTGCTTGTTTGTAGGTGACCAAATACTTATTTTCCACCATAATTTGCAAATAAATTCATAAAAAATCCTACAATGTGATTTTCTGGATTTTTTTTCCTCAATTTGTCTGTCATAGTTGACGTGTACCTATGATGAAAATTACAGGCCTCTCTCATCTTTTTAAGTGGGAGAACTTGCACAATTGGTGGCTGACTAAATACTTTTTTTCCCCACTGTACATTCTGCAAACGGGATCATAACAGAGCGCACTTGCATCATCCTATCACGCGCAGTCGGAGGAGGAAGGATAGGGCCGCCCCATCACAAAGCATGAACTGAAATGGTCCCGGTTTCCCTAAAAGCATTTTTAAGACTAAGTTAATCGTTAGAACCTACAGACCCCCCCCCCGGTTCGATTCCAGGCTGTATTCGAAACCGGCCGTGATTGGGAGTCCCACAGGGCGGCGCGCAATTGGCCCAGCGTCGTCCGGGATTGGCCCGGGGGGGTAGGCCGTCATTGTAAATAACAATTTGTTATTAACTGACTTGCCTAGTTAAATAAAGATTACAAATTAAAAATGTTGCACTTGAAAAAGCTTGAAATCCAACGCCTGCCTCAGACCACGCGTAGAAGCTAAGAGCGTTGTTAGATGCTTTTTTGCCCTCCGCATCACTTTATACACAGATCTCCCCTAAACATTGAATCACATGGTTTATCCCGTCTCTTCGTTACGCTGATAACTTCAGAAAAAAAAGTTGACTACAAATACAAAGTTGCCAATGTCTTTGCAATTGTTACAAACAAGCGACATACAGTGGGGAGAACAAGTATTTGATACACTGCCGATTTTGCAGGTTTTCCTACTTACAAAGCATGTAGAGGTCTGTAATTTTTGTCATAGGTACACTTCAACTGTGAGAGACGGAATCTAAAACAAAAATCCAGAAAATCACATTGTATGATTTTTAAGTAATTCATTTGCATTTTATTGCATGACATAAGTATTTGATCACCTACCAACCAGTAAGAATTCCGGCTCTCACAGACCTGTTCGTTTTTCTTTAAGAAGCCCTCCTGTTCTCCACTCAATACCTGTATTAACTGCACCTGTTTGAACTCGTTACCTGTATAAAAGACACCTGTCCACACACTCAATCAAACAGACTCCAACCTCTCCACAATGGCCAAGACCAGAGAGCTGTGTAAGGACATCAGGGATAAAATTGTAGACCTGCACAAGGCTGGGATGGGCTACAGGACAATAGGCAAGCAGCTTGGTGAGAAGGCAACAACTGTTGGCGCAATTATTAGAAAATGGAAGAAGTTCAAGATGACGGTCAATCACCCTCGGTCTGGGGCTCCATGCAAGATCTCACCTCGTGGGGCATCAATGATCATGAGGAAGGTGAGGGATCAGCCCAGAACTACACGGCAGGACTTGGCCAAAGTCCTGAAGAGAGCTGGGACCACAGTCTCAAAGAAAACCATTAGTAACACACTACCTATGATAAAAAATTACGGACCTCTACATGCTTTGTAAGTAGGAAATCCTGCAAAATCGGCAGTGTATCAAATACCTGTTCTCATTTTACATTACATTTTAGTCATTTAGCAGACGCTCTTAACCAGAGCGACTTACAGGAGCAATTAGGGTTAAGTGCCTTGCTCAAGGGCACATTAACGTCATTTAGCAGACGCTCTTAGCCAGAGCGACTCACAAATTGGTGCGTTCACCCTATAGCCAGTGGGATAACCACTTTACAATTTGGGGGGGGGGGGGGGGGTTAGAAGGAATACTTTAGCCTATCCCAGGTATTCCTTAAAGAGGTGGGGTTTCAAATGTCTCCGGAAGGTGGTGAGTGACTCCGCTGTCCTGGCGTCGTGAGGGAGCTTGTTCCACCATTGGGGTGCCAGAGCAGCGAACAGTTTTGACTGGGCTGAGGGGGAGCTGTGCTTCCGCAGAGGAAGGGGAGCCAGCAGGCCAGAGGTGGATGAACGCAATGTCCTCGTTTGGGTGTAGGGACTGATCAGAGCCTGAAGGTACAGGGGTGCCGTTCCCCTCACTGCTCCAAAGGCAAGCACCATGGTCTTGTAGCGGATGCGAGCTTCAATTGGAAGCCAGTGGAGTGTGCGGAGGAGGGGGGGTGACGTGAGAGAACTTGGGAAGGTTGAACACCAGACGGGCTGCGGCATTCTGGATGAGTTGTAGGGGTTTAATGGCACAGGCAGGGAGCCCAGCCAACAGCGAGTTGCAGTAGTCCAGACGGGAGATGACAAGTGCCTGGACCAGGACCTGCGCCGCTTCCTGTGTAAGGCAGGGTCGCACTCTCCGAATGTTGTAGAGCATGAACCTGCAGGAGCGGGTCACCGCCTTGATGTTGGCGGAGAACGACAGGGTGTTGTCCAGGGTCACGCCTAGGCTCTTCGCACTCTGGGAGGAGGACACAGCGGAGTTGTCTACCGTGATGGCGAGATCATGGAACGGGCAGTCCTTCCCGGGGAGGAAGAGCAGCTCCGTCTTGCCAGGGTTCAGCTTGAGGTGGTGATCCGTCATCCATACTGATATGTCTGCCAGACATGCAGACATTCTCCCCACTGTATGAAATGATGCTTCATACAGTGGGGAGAAAACCGAGATGACTGCGTTAAAATATCAACAGTAGGCTATAGGCCTATTTTAAATCATATTGAAATACATTTCATGTTCAATCAATGGAGTTCTATTTTGCTACTTGTAGGCTACTGTCTGTAATTTGTCTCAATATATTTCATGATGTGTAGCCTAACGTGTGCGTAATGATGTGCCAAATCAGGGATTTTTATGAATTTTATTTGGGCGTAAGGCATTAGAATAAGCCGCCTCAATATTTGCATCGGTAGGTGGTAATATCTCTCTAGGAGCTGATCCGTCCTCAGTATTGGTAAATAATTATAACGTTAAGGAACGATTTGAATGGAGAAAGCTGCTCCGAGAGCAGCGCTCCCTTTCTTTCGAGCCTATCAGTATCGACACTTGCTCCAACTACGCACTTAGCAACCGTTCTCTCTGCGTGCGTGGTGTTTGGTAATAAAGCGTGTTACATCTTCGGCCGTTGTAGGAAAGATGCATCGTTAAAAACACTCGTTAAGTTCCATCGCTATCGGGAAACCGGGCCTTGGTAAGTAGGGAAGGAGCATGCAGCTTATATGGGGATTAAAAGGGGTGAAGAAGGGAGGGGAGTGGGAACAGGGGAGTGGGAACAGGGGAGTGGGAACAGGGGAGTGGGAACAGGGGAGTGGGAACAGGGAGTGGGAACAGGGGAGTGGGAACAGGGGAGTGGGGAGTGGGAACAGGGGAGTGGGAACAGGGGAGTGGGAACAGGGGAGTGGGAACAGGGGAGTGGGAACAGGGGAGTGATAACAGGGGAGTGGGAACAGGGGAGTGGGAACAGGGGAGTGGGAACAGGGGAGTGGGAACAGGGGAGTGGGAACAGGGGAGTGTGTTGCCTAGGGTATTTGGAAGAAATTGGAGTCCTGTAAGGGGTGCCATGACCCTAAACAACACTCCAAAATGATTAGCTAATTAACCTATAGACTGATAAGCATGACTGTGAAATGTATTTACATCGGCTGATATATTTGCAATGGGATTGTTTTTTTTCTCCCGGACAATTTTGCCAGCAACTATTTTATTTATCAGCTTTTCATTTTTTTTTATAGGCCAAAAGCCGGCAATTGCCGGCTAACAGCAACCCTGTATTATAGGACAGTAGGTACAATTACCGGCTAACGGCAACCCTGTATTATAGGACAGTAGGTATAATTACCGGCTAACGGCAACCCTGTATTATAGGACAGTAGGTACAATTACCGGCTAACGGCAACCCTGTATTATACGACAGTAGGTACAATTACCGGCTAACGGCAACCCTGTATTATAGGACAGTAGATACAATTACCGGCTAACAGCAACCCTGTATTATAGGACAGTAGGTACAATTACCGGCTAACGGCAACCCTGTATTATAGGACAGTAGGTACAATTACCGGCTAACGGCAACCCTGTATTATACGACAGTAGGTACAATTACCGGCTAACGGCAACCCTGTATTATACGACAGTAGATACAATTACCGGCTAACAGCAACCCTGTATTATAGGACAGTAGGTACAATTACCGGCTAACGGCAACCCTGTATTATAGGACAGTAGGTACAATTACCGGCTAACAGCAACCCTGTATTATACGACAGTAGGTACAATTACCGGCTAACGGCAACCCTGTATTATACGACAGTAGGTACAATTACCGGCTAACTTCAACCCTGTATTATACGACAGTAGGTACAATTACCGGCTAACGGCAACCCTGTATTATACGACAGTAGATACAATTACCGGGTAACGGCAACCCTGTATTATACGACAGTAGATACAATTACCGGCTAACGGCAACCCTGTATTATACGACAGTAGATACAATTACCGGCTAACGGCAACCCTGTATTATAGGACAGTAGGTACAATTACCGGCTAACGGCAACCCTGTATTATACGACAGTATGTACAATTACCGGCTAACGGCAACCCTGTATTATAGGACAGTAGATACAATTACCGGCTAACGGCAACCCTGTATTATAGGACCGTAGATACAATTACCGGCTAACGGCAACCCTGTATTATACGACAGTAGATACAATTACCGGCTAACGGCAACCCTGTATTATACGACAGTAGATACAATTACCGGCTAACGGCAACCCTGTATTATAGGACAGGGCACACCCTGTAGAAATAAAGAGTGTTGAAGTAAAACTTGATTGGTTTATTTTTTACATGTGGCACATGGGTATATGGAGGGTGCATGGCTGTGAATGGTATTCTACTTGTTATTACACAGTATTTCATACTTTTCTTTCAGATGCTTCCACTGAGCTGCTGGCGTCCAGTTCTAAACTGGAGCAAGTGGAGGCTGAGGTACGAGGGTTCTCACCATCATAGGGCCGGTTTCCCGGACTCAGACTAAGCCTAGTCATGGACTAAACGGCTATTTTAATTCAGATTCTCCTTTGAGTTCTGCTTTTATGTCCAGGACTAGATTGAATCTGTGTCTGTGAAACCAGTCCTAAAAGTATAGATTTCTAACAGATTCCCTGTGTGTTCATTGTTCATCTGATTCTGATAATTGTGTTTGTCCTCACTCCTGTTTCTCTCCGTGTTGCAGTACAAGCATTTCAATCTCTGCTTTCTCCGTGTTGCAGTACAAGCCTTTAAATCTCTGCTTTCTCCGTGTTGCAGTACAAGCCTTTAAATCTGTGCTTTCTCTGTGTTGCAGTACAAGCATTTAAATATGTGCTTTCTCTGTGTTGCAGTACAAGCCTTTAAATCTCTGCTTTCTCTGTGTTGCAGTACAAGCCTTTAAATCTCTGCTTTCTCTGTGTTGCAGTACAAGCCTTTAAATCTGTGCTTTCTCTGTGTTGCAGTACAAGCATTTAAATCTGTGCTTTCTCTGTGTTGCAGTACAAGCCTTTAAATCTCTGCTTTCTCCGTGTTGCAGTACAAGCCTTTAAATCTCTGCTTTCTCCTTGTTGCAGTACAAGCCTTTAAATCTCTGCTTTCTCTGTGTTGCAGTACAAGCCTTTACATCTCTGCTTTCTCTGTGTTGCAGTATGAGTGTTTTAAGCTGTGTTTTCTCTGTGTTGCAGTATGAGTGTTTTAAGGGTAAAACAAATATATTTTTTGCAAACGTCAAGGAGTAGGGCATTCAGAGTCTGATGGTAATTTGTGATGTCAACGGCCTCCCCCCTTGCTTGAGGAACAAAAGAGGAACCCCCCCCCCCATGTCATGTTACACCTGGACCACCTATTGAGATGTGCCCGTTTGTTAAGTAAATCAGGTTATTAAATGATGTGAAAAGGAGACTGGAGGGAGGACTTTAACGCTACCTTTCCTCTTGTTTCAGTACGAGCGTTTAAAGAGGATCCATGCAGAGCTGGAGGAGAAGCTGGAGGCCTCAGAGATCCAGATTAAACGTCAGTCTGCTGAGTACAGGACCCTGATGCAACAGAAAGATGTACGGGGCTGATACATGGAACTATATGATACACTATGAAATTGAAACTTCATCATCTTGAAATAAGGATAGATAGAGCAGCAGGTAGCTTAGGGGTTAAGAGCTCAGTGGCAGTAACCGAAAGGTCGCTGGTTCTAATCCCCGAGCCGACTAGGTGAAAAATCTGCCGGTGTGCCCTTGAGCAAGGCACTTAACCCTAATTGCTCCTGTAAGTCGCTCTGGATAAGAGCGTCTGCCAAATGACTTAAAATGTAAAATAGCCACGGTCTTCTGAGGGAGCATTCCACAGTGTGCTGGTATCCATTTGTCTTTTTTAAAAATATATATATATATATATTTTTTTTTTTGTCATTTAGCAGACGCTCTTATCCAGAGCGACTTACATGAGCAATTAGGGTTAAGTGCCTTGCTCAAGGGCACATCGACAGATTTTTCACCTAGTCGGCTCGGGGATTAGAACCAGCGACCTTTCGGTTACTGGCACAACGCTCTTAACCACTAAGCCACCTGCTGCCCCGTCTTTCAGGACATTACTTCTTGTGTCATGCACCCTGCAAGATACTGGATGTGTCTACGCTACTTCTTAACTGTGTCATCGTGTCATGTCATGATGTTACCTGTCCAGGTGGAGATCAGCCACCTGAAAGCCCGTCAGAGTGGACTACAGGAAGAGGTCCGGAAGCTGCAGCACTCTGCTCAATCGGTTACCTCCGACCCAGCTGTACTTACGGTCACCACCACCGCCTCCACCACCACCACTACCTCTTCCTCTTACATGTCCCGCCCCCCGGGGGCCGCCCTCCACCAGGGTTTCCATGGCAGCAGCGACGAGATGGACTTCAGTGACGTCATCTGGTCTCAGCAGGAGATTAACCGTCTGTCTGCAGAGTTGATGAGGCTGGAGGCTGAGGTCTCCCACTGGAGAAGCGTGTCTCAGGTAGGTTTCGTTGCAACACCGTTCATTACATAGAATATAACACATTTGATCTATTACTGTTTTACTGTAAGGATTTCTAAAGGTTCATGTCAAATTCCAACGAAAAGCCTTGCAATACATACACGTAAAACCCATATTAAAGTTTAATTCTGATATTTATATGTTTCAGGCATCCATACCCCCAGGAGCAGGAAACGGTGACCAGGGAGAGGTCCTGAAGCTTCAGAGGATCATCAAGGTGTGCTTTCTCTTTGGGAGTCTAGGACCGGGTTACTGTCAAGCAGGGCTCTTCAACCCTGTTCCTGGAGAGCTACCCTCCTGTACGTTTTCACGCCAACCCCAGGTGTCACTAACCTGATTCATTTATCAACCAGCTAATTATTAGAATCAGTGGTGCTAGATTAGGGTTGGAGTTAAAACCTACAGGAGGGTAGCTCTCCAGGAACAGGGTTGGAGTTAAAACCTACAGGAGGGTAGCTCTCCAGGAACAGGGTTGGAGTTAAAACCTACAGGAGGGTAGCTCTCCAGGAACAGGGTTGGAGTTAAAACCTACAGGAGGGTAGGTCTCCAGGAACAGGGTTGGAGTTAAAACCTACAGGAGGGTAGCTCTCCAGGAACAGGGTTGGAGTTAAAACCTACAGGAGGGTAGCTCTCCAGGAACAGGGTTGGAGTTAAAACCTACAGGAGGGTAGCTCTCCAGGAACAGGGTTGGAGTTAAAACCTACAGGAGGGTAGCTCTCCAGGAACAGGGTTGGAGTTAAAACCTACAGGAGGGTAGCTCTCCAGGAACAGGGTTGGAGTTAAAACCTACAGGAGGTTAGCTCTCCAGGAACAGGGTTGGAGTTAAAACCTACAGGAGGGTAGCTCTCCAGGAACAGGGTTGGAGTTAAAACCTACAGGAGGGTAGCTCTCCAGGAACAGGGTTGGAGTTAAAACCTACAGGAGGGTAGCTCTCCAGGAACAGGGTTGGAGTTAAAACCTACAGGAGGGTAGCTCTCCAGGAACAGGGTTGGAGTTAAAACCTACAGGAGGGTAGGTCTCCAGGAACAGGGTTGGAGTTAAAACCTACAGGAGGTTAGCTCTCCAGGAACAGGGTTGGAGTTAAAACCTACAGGAGGGTAGCTCTCCAGGAACAGGGTTGGAGTTAAAACCTACAGGAGGGTAGCTCTCCAGGAACAGGGTTGGAGTTAAAACCTACAGGAGGGTAGCTCTCCAGGAACAGGGTTGGAGTTAAAACCTACAGGAGGGTAGCTCTCCAGGAACAGGGTTGGAGTTAAAACCTACAGGAGGTTAGCTCTCCAGGAACAGGGTTGGAGTTAAAACCTACAGGAGGGTAGCTCTCCAGGAACAGGGTTGGAGTTAAAACCTACAGGAGGGTAGCTCTCCAGGAACAGGGTTGGAGAGCCTTGCTATAGAACCTTTTTGTTTATGTAAAAAGGGTTTTGTGAATAACATTTAAATGATTGTTAAAAACCCTGCTTGGACTAAGAGAATGTCTGTGGAACATTCTATTTGATTGTAGGAGCTGCGTGAGGAGATGGGCCGTGAGGTAGATGAACACCAGCATGAGTTAGCAGCGCTGCAGGACGCACAGAGACAGAAGATGGCCGACATCACCCGGCGCCACCGGGACGAGCTGGCAGAGTACGAGGAGAGGATAGAGGAGCTGGAGGAACAGAAACATACTGGGGGTGAGGAGCTGGAGGATCAGAAACAGGCTGGGGGGAGGAGGAGAGGAGCTGGAGGATCAGAAACAGACTGGGGGGAGGAGGAGAGGAGCTGGAGGAACAGAAACAGACTGGGGGAGGAGGAGAGGAGCTGGAGGATCAGAAACAGACTGGGGGGAGGAGGAGAGGAGCTGGAGGATCAGAAACAGACTGGGGGGGAGGAGGAGAGGAGCTGGAGGATCAGAGAACAGACTGGGGGAGGAGGAGATGAGCTGGAGGATCAGAAACAGACTGGGGGGGGAGGAGAGGAGCTGGAGGATCAGAAACAGACTGGGGGGAGGAGGAGAGGAGCTGGAGGATCAGAAACAGACTGGGGGGGGAGGAGAGGAGCTGGAGGATCAGAAACAGACTGGGGGGAGGAGGAGAGGAGCTGGAGGATCAGAAACAGACTGGGGGGAGGAGGAGAGGAGCTGGAGGATCAGAAACAGACTGGGGGGGGAGGAGGAGAGGAGCTGGAGGATCAGAAACAGACTGGGGGGGAGGAGAGGAGCTGGAGGATCAGAAACAGACTGGGGGGAGGAGGAGAGGAGCTGGAGGAACAGAAACAGACTGGGGGGAGGAGGAGAGGAGCTGGAGGATCAGAAACAGACTGGGGGGGAGGAGGAGAGGAGCTGGAGGAACAGAAACAGACTGGGGGGAGGAGGAGAGGAGCTGGAGGATCAGAAACAGACTGGGGGTAGGAGGAGGAGAGGAGCTGGAGGAACAGAAACAGACTGGGGGGAGGAGGAGAGGAGCTGGAGGAACAGAAACAGACTGGGGGTAGGAGGAGAGGAGCTGGAGGAACAGAAACAGACTGGGGGGGGAGGAAGCATGGGCTTTAGCTTACTCTGTCTTCGCATTTTCAAAAACATGTAAGGAAGTATAGTGAAGTATATTTCTGTTAGTTTAAGGCCCAATGCAGCTGTTTTTATATCAGTATCAAATCATTTCCGGGTAACAATTAAGTACCTTACTGCAGTGGGGAGAGGTAAACTGAAAACTATCTGTTATTGGCAGAGAGGTTTGGAACTATTTACTGCATGGCAGTGTTGTGTTCAAGACCACCTAAACCGAGTCCGAGTCAAGACCAGAACAATGCGAGTCCAATTCAAGACCATGAATGTAATTTTGTCAGGTCGTCACCATAATAAGAGTATTTCTGGGTTAGTGATTCTCCGGTACTTTTGTATACTTTTTAGCCAGTAGTTCTGAAAGTAGCGCCAACGAGCCAAAAGTGGTCCTGGAAAATTGTGTTCTACGTCACACACAGAATGTGTAGATATTTTTTTTATTTAACCAGGAAGGGCTCATTGAGATTTAAAATCTCTTTTTCAAGAGCGTCCTGGCCAAGATAGGCAGCACCAAGTCATTACAAAAAATTACAGACAGACAACATAAAAAACTACAAGTAATCTAGTAAAAAAACATTCATGAATTCACAAGAGTATAACAATATCAAAAACAGCAAATTAAAAACATTGACAGGTCAGGGAATCAGCCTCAAAATCCTTCATCAGAGATTTAAAAACACCAATCGGGACAAGTTCTTCCAGTTTAAAATTATTTTGTAAGGTGTTCCAAGACGATGGCGCAGAGTACATAAAAGACCTTTTACCAAATATGAGCACCACTTCATCGCTCTCTCTTGCTCTACTGAGTGTGCTTCTTGCTAGCTGTCAATCATATGGCGAGGGGCTGAAACTTGAATTGCTAGGGGGGCTGGCCCACGTGGGGGGGGGGGTAAATGTAGGGTAAATGTTGCCGCGCAGGTTCCAGAAAACAGTCGCTTTCAAACTAGGGAGTTCGTAGCTAATTGAGGTACAGTAATTCTGCTCATAGATTCTGCATGTATGAAAAACACATAGTGACACATCCAGCCCAAAGCGGGAGGTTTAAAAAAGACTTACTAGTCAATAAAGTACCGGAGACAGTACCGGAGACAGTACCGGAGACAGTACCGGAGACAGTACCGGAGACAGTACCGGAGACAGTAGGAATGAATGCCTTAAGGTCCAATGCAGTAAAAATCTTTAATATTTCAGAAGAACATATGGGATTCTTCAGCCTTTTTAAAATGGTAAAACAATGCAATGTTGAAGGCAAATAGTCACTCTACAAACGATCACTAAATAATAGATAAAAATGACTAGATATGTTACAATCCCCGGTCTCCCCTTCGCGAGCCAGTGACTCAAACATGTACTTTTGAGTCATTTAGCAGACACTCTTATCGAGAACGACTTAGTTATTAGTGCAGTCATCTTAAGACGACATCCCCCAGTCTCCCCTACTAAAAGAGCAAGAATATGCCAACAAGGGGCCTCCCGAGTGGCGCAGCGGTCTAAGGCACTGCAGAGCTTGAGGCGTCACTACAGACCCGGGTTCGATCCCAGGCTGTGCCATGAGGCGGCGCACAATTGGCCCAGCGTCGTCCGGGTTAGGGGAGGGTTTGGCCGGCCTGGATGTCCTTGTCCCATCGTGCGCTCTAGCGACTCCTTGTGGCGTGCCGGGGCGCCTGCACGCTGACACGGTCGCCAGCCCTACGGCGTTTCCTCCGACACATTGGTGCGGCTTCCCGGTTAAGCGAGCACTGTGTCAAGAAGCAGTGCAGCTTGGCAGGATCGTGTTTTCGGAGGACGCATGGCTCTCGACCTTCGCCTCTCCCGAGTCCGTACGGGAGTTGCAGCGATGGGACAAGACTGTAACTACCAATTTGGACATCACGAAATCGGGGGAGAAAAAGGGGTAAAAAATGTATTAAAAATAAAATAAACCGAATATTCCAACGAGCGTGACAAAGTTTGAGGTTACAAGTGTGGAGAGTTGGCCTGGCAAAAGGTTTTATAAAACCAAACAATGTTTTACTCCACTGGTCTCGGCTGGTTACGAGACCTTATTGTCCGAGTCAAGACCCAGTAAAAATGTGTCCAACACTGAGAAAAGACAGAGACACTCAATATGTGGTCTGGAGACCGAACTCGAGTACTACAGCACTGCCGTATGGGATGTCACCATGGAAAGCCAAAACTCCTGCCCATGCAAACCTGCTGATTTAAAAGGGTCTGTGCAGATTGTATTTTCAACCAGCAATTATCAGGAAATAAAACTGATTTTAAATGTTTTCAAACTTTTACAATGTTAGTCTCATCAGCTGTTGTACAACACATATAGTGCGTTCAGAAAGTATTCAGACCCCTTGACTTTTTCCACATTTAGTTACTTTACAGCCTTGTTCTAAAATAGATTAAATTGTTGTAGAAACATCTCAAGGATGATCAATGGAAACAGGATGCACCTGAGCTCAATTTCGAGTCGCATAGCAAAGGGTCTGAATACTTACGTAAATAAGGTATTTCTGTTTTTTATTTGTAACACATTTGCCAAATAATTCTAAAAACCTGTTTTCACTTTGTCATTATGGAGTATTGTGTGTAGATTGATGAGGGAAAAACATTAATTTAATCCATTTTAGAATAAAGCTGTAACGTAACACAATGTGGAAAAGGGGAAGGGGTCTGAATACTTTCCCGAATGCACTGTAACTGCCTGATTTCTCCACCCTGACCTAAGACTCACAGATTTCCCTTACATGTTTACCCTCTGTATCCGGACCCTCCAGGCACTAGTCCAGCCACAGTCAACGCTCCTCAGGACTCCTCCGTGCCCTCTGACCTCCAGAGCACCATCCAGACCTTAAAGGAAGCAGCAGAGGAGCAGGAGGAGCGGCTGAAGGAGCTGACAGCCGGTCTGGAGGAGGCAGGGAGGAGACAGGCCACGCTGCAGCAGGAGAAAGAGGAGGCGCGGGCCGAGAACGCTGAGCTGTTGCAGAACTACACTCGGCTGCAGACGTCTGTCACGGAGCTCCAGACGCGTGTCCAGGAGCAGGAGGGGAAAGCCCGGAATAAGACCCAGCTAGACCAGGAGATGCAGGGGCTGAGGAAAGCTCTCGCAGGTACAGTCTCAGTATTGATTTTTTTTTTATTTAACCTTTACGTTAACAGGGAAGACATATTGTGAGACCTAGGTCTCTTTTCCAAATGCGTCCTGTATAATACAATATAAAATACACATTATACACAAAGTATAGTGAGGGGAAAACTGAAATTCACATTTTCCATTCAGTTACTGACTGAATTGAAATGGAATTGATTCCATCCCTTTAGTGGGTTTTAGTTATTTGTCAAAAGCTCAGGTTAACTCAAACTTTTTTTGGGGTCATCTTTTCAAGGTGCAGAGGAGGAGATCTCGAGGCTGAAGAGTCTTCAGGTGTGCATCCTGATCACGTACTGTATTTACAATGGTGTTGAAATATGTTGTTTCGTCACTGCTGTTATGGTTGTGTTGATTGTTGGAAACAGAGTGAACCAAAGATGGAGGTGGAACACGCAGACGTTCTAGAACTCAACACCGTCACCGGGACGTTGAGGAAGGAGGAAGAATTGGTGAAACAAAAACTTAAAGTTTTATATGAGGTGATTTCAGCTTGCTTAATGGGTCCTAACGTTCCCATTGTTTTGCACGCCACAATGTTAATTCTTAAATAAACTCCCTTACATGACTTACAGAAAATGTGTGGGCAGAACTGAAAAAGCGTGTGCGAGCAAGGAGGCCTACAAGCCTGACTCAGTTACACCAGCTCTGTCAGGAGGAATGGGCCAAAATTCACCCAACTTATTGTGGGAAGCTTGTGGAAGGCTACCCAAAACATTTGACCCAAGTTAAACATTTTAAAGGCAATGCTACCAAATACTAATTGAGTGTATGTAAACTTCTGACCCACTGGGAATGTGATGACAGAAATAAAAGCTGAAATAAATCATTCTCTCTACTATTATTCTGATATTTCACATTCTTAAAATAAAGTGGTAATCCTATCTGACCTACAGTGAGGGAAAAAAGTATTTGATCCCCTGCTGATTTTGTAAGTTTGCCCACTGACAAAGAAATGATCAGTCTATAATTTAAATGGTAGGTATATTTTAACAGTGAGAGACAGAATAACAACAAAATAATCCAGAAAAACCATGTCAAAAATGTAATAAATTGATTTGCATTTTAATGAGGGAAATAAGTATTTGACCCCCTCTCAATCAGAAAGATTTCTGGCTCCCAGGTGTCTTTTATACAGGTAACGAGCTGAGATTAGGAGCACACTCTTAAAAGGAGTGCTCCTTATCTCAGTTTGTTACCTGTATAAAAGACACCTGTCCACAGAAGCAATCAATCAATCAGATTCCAAACTCTCCACCATGGCCAAGACCAAAGAGCTCTCCAAGGATGTCAGGGACAAGATTGTAGACCTACACAAGGCTGGAATGAGCTACAAGACCATCGCCAAGCAGCTTGGTGAGAAGGTGACAACAGTTGGTGCGATTATTCGCAAATGGAAGAAACACAAAATAACTGTCAATCTCCCTCGGCCTGGGGCTCCATGCAAAATCTCACCTCGTGGAGTTGCAATGATCATGAGAATGGTGAGGAATCAGCCCAGAACTACACGGGAGGATCTTGTCAATGATCTCAAGGCAGCTGGGACCATAGTCACCAAGAAAACAATTAGTAACACACTACGCCGTGAAGGACTGAAATCCTGCAGCTCCCGCAAGGTCCCCTTGCTCAAGAAAGCACATATACAGGCCCTTCTGAAGTTTGCCAATGAACATCTGAATGATTCAGAGGAGAACTGGGTGAAAGTGTTGTGGTCAGATGAGACCAAAATCGAGCTCTTTGGCATCAACTCAACTCGCCGTGTTCGGAGGAGGAGGAATGCTGCCTATGACCCCAAGAACACCATCCCCACCGTCAAACATGGAGGTGGAAACATTATGCTTTGGGGGTGTTTTTCTGCTAAGGGGACAGGACAACTTCACTGCATCAAAGGGACGATGGACGGGGCCATGTACCGTCAAATCTTGGGTGAGAACCTCCTTCCCTCAGCCAGGGCATTGAAAATGGGTTGTGGATGGGTATTCCAGCATGACAATGACCCAAAACACACAGCCAAGGCAACAATGGAGTGGCTCAAGAAGAAGCACATTAAGGTCCTGGAGTGGCCTAGCCAGTCTCCAGACCTTAATCCCATAGAAAATCTGTGGAGGGAGCTGAAGGTTCGAGTTGCCAAACGTCAGCCTTGAAACCTTAATGACTTGGAGAAGATCTGCAAAGAGGAGTGGGACAAAATCCCTCCTGAGATGTGTGCAAACCTGGTGGCCAACTACAAGAAACGTCTGACCTCTGTGATTGCCAACAAGGGTTTTGCCACCAAGTACTAAGTCATGTTTTGCAGAGGGGTCAAATACTTATTTCCCTCATTAAAATGCAAATCAATTTATAACATTTTTGACATGCGTTTTTCTGGATTTTGTTGTTGTTATTCTGTCTCTCACTGTTCAAATAAACCTACCATTAAAATTATAGACTGATCATGTCTTTGTCAGTGGGCAAACGTACAAAATCAGCAGGGGATCAAATACTTTTTTCCCCCTCACTGTAAAACAGGGAATTTTTACTAGGATTAAATGTCAGGAATTGTGAAAAACTGAGTTTAAATGTATTTGGCGAAGGTGTATGTACACTTCCGACTTCAACTGTGCATATAACTAGAAACAAAGTGACATAGTAAACCGTTGTCTCAGAGAGGGTAAGAGATGGCCCTGAGAAGGATTTTCTACAATGGTGTTTGATTCAGTTGGATTATTTCATTATTGTGCACATTTTGTTATGTATTTCTTTTTTTAACTCCTCAGCTGACTCTACAGGAGAGACTTGCCAGTGCCGAGGGGAGAGTGGAGTCGGACAGCCTTGACGGAGGGGAGTCCTCGGAGCAGCTATCGGGGCTGAGGGCGGAGCTAGAGAAGAGCGAGCAGTCCTTGAGAGAGACCCAGGAGGAACGAGATACCCTCCTCAACGAGCTGGAAGAACTGGACAGACAGAACCAGGAGGCTACGCAGGTCGGGTTTGAACTCGTACAGACCACACTGGGTTTTTGAGAACATGTTGAAAATGGAAAGGGAAATGGTCATCTCATTTTGAATTTATTTAAAGACAAGGTTGCAAGATCGGGTTATGGTTTTTCCACTCACATTTGTGTTATGCTATCAAACAAGTCAAAGGTCTATATTAGGTAGAGACACAGCAAAGTAACACTACCTAGACAAGGTTATTGACATGCTGTTATTGTTTTGTGTTGTCTCCACGTTACAGCATGTGATCTCAGTGAAGGAGCAGCTCTCCGTTCAGCTGAAGGAATCTGAGGCCGAGGTGGCCAGGCTGAAGTCAGAACTCCGTACCGCCACCGACCAGAGGGTGGCGCTGCAGCAAGAGCTGCAGGCCCAGCAGGAGAAACTGAGCCAGAGTGCCTTCACTCTCAACGACCTACACATGGGCAAGCAGGAGCTGGAGGGCACCGTTAAGGTGCTGAGAGACAAACTGGGACAGGCAACAGAGATGGGCAATGAGGCACGCAGGGAGACCCAGGAGCACCAGAGAACATTACAGGAGAGGGAGGAGCAGCTGTCTGCTGCCCGGGCAGAGCTGTGTGAGGCTGGGGAGAGAGGGAGAGAATCCGGTGGGTCCAGAGAGCAACTGGAGAAGGAACTAGAGGAGCTCAGCAGAGAGCTGGCTGAGATGAGGAGCTCCCAGGAGAAGGTGATGTCAGAAGACTACGAGATGAAGATGAAGAACCAGAGGCTGAAGACAGAGGCTGAGCAGGCCCAGGGGAGGATAGAGGAGCTGGCCAGGCAGGTCAGGGAGGTCCAGGCCGCTCTCAGCAGGACGGTCCTGGAGAAAGACACCCGCATCGAGGCTCTGAAGCTGGAGAAGAGCCAGCTGGAAGGGGAGCTGGTTCAGGCAGAGAGGGGCCTCCAGGAGCAGACCAGGCAGTACCAGCAGACCGTCGAGGAGCTGACCGCTGCTCGCTCCATGGACGCCTCGGCACTGCAGGTCCGCTGTTTCATTAGTTTTACTGTTTAATCAATTTATTTATCTTCATTTTATTTTATATATTTTAAGTAGGGCTGTCAAATGATTAAAATTTTTAATCAAATTAATCAGAATTTTCAGTGGATTAATCATGATTAATCACTATTTGCAATTACACCTGAATCCTAACCATTTTTTTTCTGAAATGCATACCAAAAGATAAATAACAGGACACAGATACATAATTTTCATATTATGTCTGTTTATTAACACAGCCAAATAATGGTGTTTTAAATCAAGCTGAAACATACTACACACCATAATATTTGTCTTTGGCTGTGGCTCTTGACGGTGGCTTATAGAATGAGTCTTGAGACGCCACTTGCAAAACATCAAGGAAACCTGAGTCTTCTACAATGCTAATGGGTCTACAATCCTTTGCAATCCATTTTGCTATTGTGTTGGTCAAATTATCTGAGGTTGATTTTGTTAATTGCCTGCAAACATTCAGCGTGGTCTGGCGCAAACCACTTGCTGAATCTGACGGCCCAGCAAACGCATGTTTGGCGTTGACATGGTACTTCAAGCTTGAACAGCTCCGGTGAAATTGAAACTCCTTCTTACAAATCTTGCAAATAACCTTGTACTTGTTAACTGTACCATCATCATTCTTTTTATATTTGAATCCGTCAATAGGCCCACTTTGCTCACCTTGCTCCATCTCGCCTCTAGCTCCCAACCACTTTCCTGACCTGAATAATTTGTCACACTGCGCATGCGTGAAATGCGTTAAAAAAATTGACGTAATTAACAGCAAACAACTAATTAACGTCGTTAACGCGCTATTTTTGACAGCCCTAATTTTAAGGTATTTTATTGAACAGATAGAGAGGGAGAGGATGTCAGTGGGGAGGTACAGAGAGAGGTTGTGTCAAAGGGCAGTAGGCCAGATTCGAACCTATGCAGACATTGTAGGTGAGGGGTGTCAAACTCATTCCACGGAGGGCCTAGTGTCTGCAGGTTGTTGGTTTTTTCCTTTCAATGAAGACCTAGACAACCAGGTGAGGGGAGTTCCTTACTAAGACCTAGACAACCAGGTGAGGGGAGTTCCTTACTAATTAGTGACCTTAATTCATCAATCAAGTACAAGGGAGGAGTGAAAACCCGCAGACACTCGGCCCTCCGTGGGATGAGTTTGACACGTGTTGTAGACAATGTGTGGCAGAGGCTGCTGCATCAGGCTAGGACACTTAATATCTTCATTTATCTGTCTTCATTTCAGATTTATCTATCTTCATTTCATATCTATCTATCTTCATTTCATATTTATCTATCTTCATTTCAGATTTATCTATCTTCATTTCATATTTATCTATCTTCATTTCATATTTATCTATCTTCATTTCATATTTATCTATCTTCATTTCAGATTTATCTATCTTCATTTCAGATTTATCTATCTTCATTTCAGATTTATCTATCTTCATTTCAGATTTATCTATCTTCATTTCAGATTTATCTATCTTCATTTCATATCTATCTATCTTCATTTCAGATTTATCTATCTTCATTTCAGATTTATCTATCTTCATTTCATATTTTTCATTTGGTGAAATGAAAAAAATTACTTGTTTCAAAAAATGCGATAAATTTATAATGGGAAAGTGGTGCGTTCAAATTTATTCACCCCCTTTGCTATGAAGCACCTAAATAAGATCTGGTGCAACCAATTACCTTCAGAAGTCACATAATTAGTTAAATAAAGTCCACCTGTATATATACACCTGTTCTGAAAGGCCCCAGAGTCTGCAACACCACTAAGCAAGGGGCACCACCAAGCAAGCGGCACCATGAAGACCAAGGAGCTCTCCAAACAGGTCTGGGACAAAGTTGTGGAGAAGTACAGATCAGGGTTGGGTTATATAAAAATATCAGACACTTTGAACATCCCACGGAGCACCATTAAATCCATTATTAAAAAATGGAAAGAATATGGCACCACAACAAACCTGCCAAGAGAGGGCCTCCCACCAAAACTCACAGACCAGGCAAGGAGGGCATTAATCAGAGAGGCAACAAAGAGACCAAAGATAACCCTGAAGGAGCTGCAAAGCTCCACAGCGGAGATTGGAGTATCTGTCCATAGGACCACTTTAAGCCGTGCACTCCACAGAGCTGGGCTTTACGGAAGAGTGGCCAGAAAAAAAGCCATTGCTTACAGAAAAAAATAAGCAAACACGTTTGGTGTTCTCCAAAAGCCATGTGGGAGACTCCCCAAACATATGGAAGAGAAGGTGCTCTGGTCAGATGAGCATAGTGGTGGCAGCATCATGCTGTGGGGATGTTTTTCATCGGCAGGGACTGGGAAACAGGTCAGAATTGTGATCGATGGCGCTAAATACAGGGAAATTCTTGAGGGAAACCTGTTTCAGTCTTCCAGTGATTTGAGACTGGGACGGAGGTTCACCTTCCAGCAGGACAATGACCCTAAGCATACTGCTAAAGCAACACTCGAGTGGTTTAAGGGGAAACATTTAAATGTCTTGGAATGGCCTAGTCAAAGCCCAGACCTCAATCCAATTGAGAATATGTGGTATGACTTAAAGATTGCTGTACACCAGCATATCTATCTTCATTTCATATTTATTTATCTTCATTTCATATTTATCTTCATTTCAGATGTATTTATCTTCACTTCATATTTGTCTTCATTTCATATTTGTCTTCATTTCATATTTGTCTTCATTTCATATTTGTCTTTATTTCATATTTGTCTTTATTTCATATTTGTCTTCATTTCATATTTATCTTCATTTCATATTAGTCTTCATTTCATATTTGTCTTCATTTCATATTTGTCTTCATTTCATATTTGTCTTCATTTCATATTTATCTAGAAAGTTGTTTTTATCTTTCTCACTTTCATCATTATTTAAATTAATTCATTAAGCGTTGACTTTGAACCACATTTTTTGTTTAAAGTGCTATATAAATAAAGTTTGATTTGATTACTTGCAGACGGAGCACGAGAGGACGGTGAGGCTGAACCAGGAGAAGGATCTGGAGATCTCCCAGCTGAGGAGAGACGTGGAGCAGATGGCCTCCGACCACCGAGACACCAACGAGATGCTGTCCATCACCGTGGCCGGACAGAAACAGCTGACCGACCTCCTCCAGGTCAGCTGACCGACCATAGAGTTAGATAGAGGACTCATCTGTTGTGTTATAATGGGTATATCAATGAGTCCTCTATCGGACTATGTGACAGACCTTTCTGACATATTTTATGAAATTATAGCACTTATCCAGCCTAGTTTGCTTGTAAATATCCTTTGCAATCTGTTGTTTTGGATTGTATAATTTTGGTTGTATGTATTGTGTTTGCTGCAAAAGGAATTACCACATTAAGTACATTAAAGGGGGCAATCTGCAGTTTAAAACAACAACAAAGCCGTCACCCCGCCACCTTTTTTGGGGGTATTAGGGATGGATATGGCTGAAGAAATGTAACGACTCTCAAATTCATAGACGGTTATGGATACAAGGACTGACCATGAGATCAAAATGATACATTTAACCATGGTTTGGAGATATACAGTGTTTGTTTACAATTACGTTGTTTACAAACAATGGAGTAGAACGTCTGCAGTCTGATTCGCTACGACAGTTGAACTAAGCTCATGAGACATTTATAAGTTATATATATATTTTTTTATAATCAATGACTATATATCATTAATTTAAAAGTCCAAAAATGTATGTAGCAATCGCTAGATTGCGCATTTAAAAATTTTCTGATTCTAAATGTGAATCTCCAGGAGAAGGACTCCTTCATGGAGAGCCTGAGGGCTAGCATGGCCGCCACCCAGAGGGAGATGGAGGCCGCGGTCCAGGCAGCCACAGAGGAGGCTGGGGCCCTGAGGGCAGCTCTGGAGGAGAAGGACAAGCAGCTGGGAGGCATGAAGGAAGACAAGAGCCACCTGAAGGTTCGTCGACAGTATGAATGACGTGGGGTAACGTGCAATGTATCTATTATGCTATGCGTTTGGGTTTATTTGGATAGTGACAAGTACACATTGACACATGTTGAGTGTGGAATGTACAGTGTCTGTTTTGTATACAGCAGTACTGTGTGTCTAAGATACTTTTCCCCTCGGGAAATTAAACTTAAACCTCACCGCCACTCTTACAAATCTCACTGACTGAACCACCCGTCCTGCCATTACTGAACCACCCGGCCTGCCATGATTGTCCATCTTAACCATTTAATTATTTGTTTTAGTTTTTTTAAATTGCATTGTTGTTGTTTTTTCCCCCCCCTGCTTTAAAGTACTTTGATATTATTAATTTATGTAATGAAAAGTAAAATATAAAATAAAAGTTTAATACATTCTTATCATCCTATCAGGAGGAGATTGACCGCCTCAGGGACCAGCAGAGCAGACCCCAGCACCCCGGCCTGGCCGAGCCACGCACCCTGGACATCATCACAGGTAAATATACAGTGGATTCGGAAAGTATTCAGACCCCTTCACTTTTTCCTCATTTTGTTACGTTACAGCCTTATTCTAAAATGGATTACAAGTCGTCGTCCCCCCCATCAATCTACACACAATACCCCATAATGACAAAGCAAAAACAGGTTTTTAGGAAATTTAGCAAATGCAAATGTGTAAATAAAACTTGCAGGAAATATCACATTTACATAAAGTGTGCTTAGGGTCGTTGTCCTGTTGGAAGGTGAACCTTCGCCCCCAGTCTGAGGTCCTGAGCGCTCTGGAGCAGGTTTTCATCAAGGATCTCTCTGTACGTTGCTCCGTTCATCTTTCCCTCGATCCTGACTAGTCTCCCCAGTCCCTGCTGCTGAAAAACATCCCCACAGCATGATGCTTCCACCACCATGCTTCACCGTAGGGATGGTGCCAGGTTTTCTCCAGACGTGACACTTGGCATTCAGGTCAAAGAGTTCAATCTTGGTTTCATCAGACCAGAGAATCTTGTTTCTCATGGTCTGGGAGTCCTTTGTGTGCCTTTTGGCAAACTCCAAGCGGGCTGTCATGTGCCTTTTACTGAGGAGTGGCTTCCGTCTGGCCACTCTACCATAAAGGCCTGATTGGTGGAGTGATGCAGAGATGGTTGTCCTTCTGGAAGGTTCTCCCATCTCCACATAGGAACTCTGGAGCTCTGTCAGAGTGACCATCGGGTTCTTGGTCACCTCCCTGACCAAGGCCCTTCTCCCCTGATTGCTCAGTTTGGCCGGGTGGCCAGCTCTAGGAAGAGTCTTGGTGGTTCCAGACTTCTTCCATTTAAGAATGATGGAGGCCACTGTGTTCTTGGGGACCTTCAATGCTGCAGACATTTTTTGGTACCCTTCCCCAGATCTGTGCCTCAACACACTGTCTTGGAGCTCTACGGACAATTTCTTCGACCTCTTGGCTTGGTTTTTGCTCTGACAACTGTGGGACCTTATATAGACAGGTGTGTGCCTTTCCAAATCATGTCCAATCAATTGAATTTACCACAGGTGGACTCCAATCAAGTTGTAGAAACATCTCAAGGATGTTCAATGGAAACAGGATGCACCTGAGCTCAATTTCAAGTCTCATAGCAAAGGGTCTGAATACTTATGTAAATAAGGTATTTTTGTTTTTTATTTTTAATACATTTGCTGAAGTTTCTAAAAACCTGTTTTTGCTTTGTCATTATGGGGTATTGTGTGTAGATTGATGAGGGAAAAACATTACTTTAATCCATTTTAGAAGAAGGCTGTAACGTAACACAATGTGGAAAAAGTCAAGGGGTCTGAATACTTTCCGAATGCACTGTAATTTGCTATCTGCTGTTGTTTTTAAATATGTGATTCCGTCTGTATGTTTTGTCAGGGCTCCAGACTAACATTTTCCCCTTGTGGCACCGGTGACACGAACTTTTTCAGTTGGTGGCACCAGCCCATTTGACTGTTAACAAATTCATGGTTTTATCCGTCGCAAAAAAAATAGGACGTTTTTGATTGAGGTGACCAGGTAGACTGTTCAGCTCACACCAGTGCGACCAATTTTTATAAAAATGGTAACTCGCACAAAGGGTCGCGAAATGCGAATTTAAAAGGTTGCAGTCTGGAGCCCTGATTTGTATTGTGTGTGCTGCAAAAGGAATTGCCTCATTGAGGACAGTCACATTCAGAAAATGTGAATCACAGAACTGGAGACTGAGATCAGCCAGCTGAAGAGCTCCAGAGACGGGCTGGGGGAGGAGGTGCAGGCCCTGAGGAGGAGAATGGAGGAGCAGCGGGATCGCCTCCTCTCCTCCCAGCAGTCTGTCCAGGCGCAGCAGAATGAGTTGGATCAGGCCCATCAACGCCACGAGCAGAGCAGAGAGAACTACGATAGGCTGATCCACGCCAAGGACGAGGAGATTGGGCGCCTGCAGCAGGAAGTAGATCACCTCGGCCACACCCGCTCCTCCCAGGAACAGGAAGTGGTCATCCTCCAACAGGAAGACAAGACCCAGTCGTCTCTGAATAACGGAGAGAACTGCAACGAGAAACATGACCTGTCAAAGGTGGAGATAGACCGTCTGGTGAAGGTATTTCCTGCATTTTGTTATTTATTATTATAAGAATCTACTAAATAATCTGCCGTCTGTTAAATGACAAAAATGTGAATATACATTTAATGACATCATCCATCTCACTTGGCTTAAGCTGCGGTGGCCTTCTCGCTAATACATCTGATCTGAATCTGAATCTGAAGGGCATCAAGGAGAAGGAGACGGAGATCAGCCAGCTGAATGAGAAGAACCTGAACCTGACCAGACAGTTGGACCAGCTGGCGGTCTCCAGAGAGGAGATTGGGAAACTCTCCCAGATGGTCCTGCAGAAGGTATGTATTTTAAAAGGGCAATATGCAGTTCAAACAACTGTTTTGGTAAAAAAAGCTGAACGATGGGGCTGGAGAAATGTAAAATCTCTCTAAATTCATAGACTGACCTATGGATGCAAGGACTGACCATCCATGATATCAGATGTGTAGTTGAACCATGTTTTTGAGGCTATGTAACGTCGTCTTATTGAAATATACCATTTTTTTTTCTCTCAAGGACCTGGAGATCCAGGCGCTGCACGCTAGAGTCTCCCTGGGGGGAGGAGGCCACAGCCAGGACATGATGTTTCTTCAGCAGCAGCTGCAGGCCTATGCTGTTGAGAGAGAGCAGGTCAGAATCACAATCAGAATCAACTCTATTCGCCAAGTAGACTACATTTATAGTACCAGTCAAAAGTTTGGACACACCTACTCATTCCAGGGTTTTTCTATATTTTTTAAAAACTATTTTCTACATTGGCTATTTGAAGAATCTCAAATATAAAATGTATTTTGATTTGTTTAACACTTTGTTGGTTACTATGTGATTCCATATGTGTTATTTCATAGTTTTGATGTCTTCACTATTATTCTACAATGTAGAAAATAAAGGAAAAACCCTTGAATGAGTAGGTGTGTCCAAACATTTGACTGGTAGTGTACAGTTGAAGTCGGAAGTTTACATACACTTAGGTTGGAGTCATTAAAATTCGTTTTTCAACCACTCCACAAGTGTCTTGTTAACAAACTATAGTTTTGGCAAGTCGGTTAGGACATCTACTTTGTGCATGACACAAGTAATCTTTCCAACAATTCTTTACAGACAGATTATTTCACTTATAATTCACTGTATCATAATTCCAGTGGGTCAGAAGTTTACATACACTAAGTTGACTGTGCCTTTAAACAGCTTGGAAAATTCCAGAAAATGATGTCATGGCTTTAGAAGCTTCTAATAAGCTAATTGACATCATTTGTGTCAATTGGAGGAGTACCTGTTGATGTATTTCAAGGCCTACCTTCAAACTCAGTGCCTCTTTGCTTGACATCATGGGAAAATCAAAAGAAATCAGCCAAGACCTCAGAAAGAAATTGTAGACCTCCACAAGTCTGGTTCATCCTTGGGAGCAATTTCCAAACACCTGAAGGTACCACGTTCATCTATACAAACAATAGTATGCAAGTATAAACACCATGGGACCACGCAGCCATCATACCGCTCAGGAAGGAGACTCATTCTGTCTCCTAGAGATGAACGTACTTTGGTGCGAAAAGTGCAAATCAATCCCAGAACAACAGCAAAGGACCATGTGAAGATGCTGGACGAAACAGGTACAAAAGTATCTATATCCACAGTAAAACAAGTCTTATATCGACATAACCTGAAAGGCCGCTCAGCAAGGAAGAAGCCACTGCTCCAAAACCACCATAAAAATGCCAGACTACGGTTTGCAACTGCACATTGGGACAAAGATCGTACTTTTTGGAGAAATGTCCTCTGGTCTGATTAAACAAAAATAGAACTGTTTGGCCATAATGACCATCATTATGTTTGGAGGAAAAAGGGGGAGCTTGCAAGCCGAAGAACCCCATCCCAACCGTGAAGCACGGGGGTGGCAGCATCATGCTGTGGGGATGCTTTGCTGCAGGAGGGACTGGTGCACTTCACAAAATAGATGGCATCATGAGGAAGGAAAATTATGTGGATATATTGAAGCAACATCTCAAGACATCAGTCAGGATGTTAAAGCTTGGTCGCAAATGGGTCTTCCAAATGGACAATGACCCCAAGCATACTTCCAAAGTTGTGGCAAAATGGCTTAAGGACAACAAAGTCAAGGAATTGGAGTGGCCATCACAAAGCCCTGACCTCAATCCTATAGAAAATGTGTGGGCAGAACTGAAAAAGCGTGTGCGAGCAAGGAGACCTACAAGCCTGACTCAGTTACACCAGCTCTGTCAGGAGGAATGGGCCAAAATTCACCCAACTTATTGTGGAAAACTTGTGGAAGGCTACCCGAAACGTTTGACCCAAGTTAAACAATTTAAAGGCAATGCTACCAAATACTAATTGAGTGTATGTAAACTTCTGACCCACTGGGAATGTGATGAAAGAAATAAAAGCTCAAATAAATAATTCTCTCTACTATTATTCTGACATTTCACATTCTTAAAATAAAGTGGTGATCCTAACTGCCCCAAGACAGGGAATTTTTACTAGGATTAAATGTCAGGAATTGTGAAAAACTGAGTTTAAATGTATTTGGCTAAAGTGTATGTAAACTTCCGACTTCAACTGTAGATGTAGTAATAGTCTACATACAGTATATAGTATAGATGTAGTAGTCTACATACAATATATAGTATATATGTAGTAGTCTACATACAGTATATAGTATAGATGTAGTAGTAATAGTCTACATACAGTATATAGTATAGATGTAGTAGTCTACATACAGTATATAGTATAGATGTAGTAGTCTACATACAGTATATAGTATAGATGTAGTAGTAATAGTCTACATACAGTATATAGTATATATGTAGTAGTCTACATACAGTATATAGTATAGATGTAGTAGTCTACATACAGTATATAATATAGATGTAGTAGTCTACATACAGTATATAGTATAGATGTAGTAGTCTACATACAGTATATAGTATATATGTAGTAATAGTCTACATACAGTATATAATATAGATGTAGTAGTCTACATACAGTATATAGTATATATGTAGTATTAGTCTACATACAGTATATAGTATAGATGTAGTATTAGTCTACATACAGTATATAGTATAGATGTAGTAGTCTACATACAGTATATAATATAGATGTAGTAGTCTACATACAGTATATAGTATAGATGTAGTAGTCTACATACAGTATATAATATAGATGTAGTAGTAATAGTCTACATACAGTATATAGTATAGATGTAGTAGTCTACATACAGTATATAGTATATATGTAGTAATAGTCTACATACAGTATATAATATAGATGTAGTAGTCTACATACAGTATATAGTATAGATGTAGTAGTCTACATACAGTATATAGTATATATGTAGTATTAGTCTACATACAGTATATATTATAGATGTAGTATTAGTCTACATACAGTATATAGTATAGATGTAGTAGTCTACATACAGTATATAATATAGATGTAGTAGTCTACATACAGTATATAGTATAGATGTAGTAGTCTACATACAGTATATAATATAGATGTAGTAGTAATAGTCTACATACAGTATATAGTATATATGTAGTAGTCTACATACAGTATATAATATAGATGTAGTAGTCTACATACAGTATGTAGTATATATGTAGTAGTCTACATACAGTATATAATATAGATGTAGTAGTAATAGTCTACATACAGTATATAATATAGATGTAGTAGTCTACATACAGTATATAGTATAGATGTAGTAGTCTACATACAGTATATAGTATATATGTAGTAGTCTACATACAGTATATAATATAGATGTAGTAGTCTACATACAGTATATAATATAGATGTAGTAGTCTACATACAGTATATAGTATAGATGTAGTAGTCTACATACAGTATATAGTATATATGTAGTATTAGTCTACATACAGTATATAGTATATATGTAGTAGTCTACATACAGTATATAATATAGATGTAGTAGTCTACATACAGTATATAGTATAGATGTAGTAGTCTACATACAGTATATAGTATAGAGTCAAATGTATGTAGACTTTTAAAGTAAAATGTATTATTATTATTATTATGAATGTAGGTGTTGGCGGTGCTGAATGAGAAGACACGGGAGAACAGTCAGCTGAGATCAGACTACCACCGCATCATGGACATCGTAGCAGGGAAGGAGGCTGTGCTCCTCAAGGTCCAGCAGGAGAACCAGCGGCTGTCCACCATGTCAGACCCCTCAGGGAGCCAGGAGATGTTCAGAGAGACCATCCAGAACCTGTCCCGGATCATCAGGTGTAGTTGTGTTGTAATATTTGGTGGCCAAAAAGACAGTAGCTCAGTTGGTAGAGCAAGGCGCTTGCAACAGGATAGTGGGTTTGATTCCCGGGACCATCCATCCATACGTAAAGTATGTATGCGTGCATGACTAACTGTAAGTTCATTTGGATAAAAGTGTCCGATAAATGATATATATTGTTGTGTTTTGGTGCCATCATGCCCCTTTTTCTAGTGTACTGTTCTCTACTTGGTAATAGCATGTATCTATTTGCCGTTTTATGCTTTTCTAGTGTAAATAATAATAATAATAATAATAATAAGCCATTTAGCAGACGCTTTTATCCAAAGCGACATACAGTCATGTGCGCATACATTTTTACGTCCCGGGGATCGAACCCACTACCCCTGGCGTTACAAGCGCCATGCTCTACCAATTGAGCTACAGATGATCATTGAGTATCTCGAAAGGTGCAAATACAATTTATTCTTCTTCTTCTTCTTCTTCGTCTTCTTCATCTTCATCATCATCAGAGAGAAGGACATTGAGATCGACGCGCTGACCCAGAAGTGCCACACCCTGGTCTCGGTACTGCAGGCAGGAGACTCTGGCGGAGTCAGCTCCAACCAGTTTGAAGAGCTGCTACAGGAGAGGGACACCTTGAAACAGCAGGTAAGATAATATATTAGCATTACACTGAAACAGCAGGTAAGATAAGATATTAGCATTACACTGAAGCAGCAGGTAAGATAAGATATTAGCATTACACTGTAACAGCAGGTAAGATAAGATATTAGCATTACACTGACACAGCAGGTAAGATAAGATATTAGCATTACACTGAAACAGCAGGTAAGATAAGATATTAGCATTACACTGAAACAGCAGGTAAGATAAGATATTAGCATTACACTGAAGCAGCAGGTAAGATAAGATATTAGCATTACACTGTAACAGCAGGTAAGATAAGATATTAGCATTACACTGACACAGCAGGTAAGATAAGATATTAGCATTACACTGACACAGCAGGTAAGATAAGATATTAGCATTACACTGTAACAGCAGGTAAGATAAGATATTAGCATTACACTGAAACAGCAGGTAAGATAAGATATTAGCATTACACTGAAACAGCAGGTAAGATAAGATATTAGCATTACACTGAAACAGCAGGTAAGATAAGATATTAGCATTACACTGAAACAGCAGGTAAGATAAGATATTAGCATTACACTGAAACAGCAGGTAAGATAAGATATTAGCATTACACTGACACAGCAGGTAAGATAAGATATTAGCATTACACTGAAACAGCAGGTAAGATAAGATATTAGCATTACACTGAAACAGCAGGTAAGATAAGATATTAGCATTACACTGAAACAGCAGGTAAGATAAGATATTAGCATTACACTGAAGCAGCAGGTAAGATAAGATATTAGCATTACACTGAAACAGCAGGTAAGATAAGATATTAGCATTACACTGAAACAGCAGGTAAGATATTAGCATTACACTGAAACAGCAGGTAAGATAAGATATTAGCATTACACTGAAACAGCAGGTAAGATATTAGCATTACACTGAAACAGCAGGTAAGATAAGATATTAGCATTACACTGAAACAGCAGGTAAGATAAGATATTAGCATTACACTGAAACAGCAGGTAAGATAAGATATTAGCATTACACTGAAACAGCAGGTAAGATAAGATATTAGCATTACACTGAAACAGCAGGTAAGATAAGATATTAGCATTTTATTGTCTGTTTTTACAGAACTGTGCCTTGTGTCATAAAACCTTACAAGGACATAAAAAATGATTCACATCACAGATGAGGAATCACTGTTTATAGTGCAATTCCGTGCATAAAGGTGGGTCTAATTTAGCTGTGTCTAATGTATATATTGTAATGTATCCAGGTGAAGAAGATGGAGGAGTGGAAGATGCAGGTGATCACCACGGTAAAGAACATGCAGCATGAATCAGCCCAGCTGGTAGAGGAACTCCACAAGTTACAGGGACAGGTAACCAGAATAATATATTAGAATAATTAATGATTATCTAACGTAATGATAATGAGTCTGCCCAGCAGTAATGATGTTGAGATAAAGTACTGACGTCCAATAAGCTATCCTCCTACTGGCCTGTCATAAAAGGTTTTTCGAACAAGTTACAGTTATGAACGGTAGCTTATTTCCTAAATATTCTAGCCTACAAAGGTGTTGTCCTGAAGTTGTTGTGGCTTTCAAAAAATACCAAGAATGAAAGTCTATAGCCTTGGGATAGGCTATTCTCAATCACAGCTTTATGAGAGACAGAACAAACGATATCATTTATTTTTCTATTTTATGAGGGGAAATTAAAGAAATGATTATCCAGTTCTGAAGATGATAGAGGGCTTTTATCCAGCCCATGATGTAGCCTTATAACCTAGCTCACTACGGGAAGACGGCCTTATAACCTAGCTCACTACGGGAAGACAGCCTTATAACCTAGCTCACTACGGGAAGACAGCCTTATAACCTAGCTCACTACGGGAAGACAGCCTTATAACCTAGCTCACTACGGGAAGACGGCCTTATAACCTAGCTCACTACGGGAAGACGGCCTTATAACCTAGCTCACTACGGGAAGACAGCCTTATAACCTAGCTCACTACGGGAAGACAGCCTTATAACCTAGCTCACTACGGAAGACCCTAACCTAGCTCACTACGGGAAGACAGCCTTATAACCTAGCTCACTACGGGAAGACAGCCTTATAACCTAGCTCACTACGGGAAGACAGCCTTATAACCTAGCTCACTACGGGAAGACGGCCTTATAACCTAGCTCACTATGGGAAGACAGCCTTATAACCTAGCTCACTACGGGAAGACGGCCTTATAACCTAGCTCACTACGGGTAAGACGGCCTTATAACCTAGCTCACTACGGTAAGACGGCCTTATAACCTAGCTCACTACGGGAAGACGGCCTTATAACCTAGCTCACTACGGGAAGACGGCCTTATAAACCTAGCTCACTACGGGAAGACAGCCTATAACCTAGCTCACTACGGGATAGACGGCCTTATAACCTAGCTCACTACGGAAGACAGCCTTATAACCTAGCTCACTACGGGAAGACAGCCTTATAACCTAGCTCACTACGGGAAACAGCCTTATAACCTAGCTCACTACGGGAAGACAGCCTTATAACCTAGCTCACTACGGGAAGACGGCCTTATAACCTAGCTCACTACGGGAAGACAGCCTTATAACCTAGCTCACTACGGGAAGACAGCCTTATAACCTAGCTCACTACGGGAAGACGGCCTTATAACCTAGCTCACTACGGGAAGACAGCCTTATAACCTAGCTCACTACGGGAAGACAGCCTTATAACCTAGCTCACTACGGGAAGACAGCCTTATAACCTAGCTCACTACGGGAAGACGGCCTTATAACCTAGCTCACTACGGGAAGACAGCCTTATAACCTAGCTCACTACGGGAAGACGGCCTTATAACCTAGCTCACTACGGAAGACGGCCTTATAACCTAGCTCACTACGGGAAGACAGCCTTATAACCTAGCTCACTACGGGAAGACAGCCTTATAACCTAGCTCACTACGGGAAGACGGCCTTATAACCTAGCTCACTACGGGAAGACGGCCTTATAACCTAGCTCACTACGGGAAGACGGCCTTATAACCTAGCTCACTACGGGAAGACAGCCTTATAAACCTAGCTCACTACGGGAAGACAGCCTTATAACCTAGCTCACTACGGGAAGACGGCCTTATAACCTAGCTCACTACGGGAAGACGGCCTTATAACCTAGCTCACTACGGGAAGACAGCCTTATAACCTAGCTCACTACGGGAAGACGGCCTTATAACCTAGCTCACTACGGGAAGACAGCCTTATAACCTAGCTCACTACGGGAAGACAGCCTTATAACCTAGCTCACTACGGGAAGACAGCCTTATAACCTAGCTCACTACGGGAAGACAGCCTTATAACCTAGCTCACTACGGTAAGACAGCCTTATAACCTAGCTCACTACGGGAAGACAGCCTTATAACCTAGCTCACTACGGGAAGACAGCCTTATAACCTAGCTCACTACGGGAAGACAGCCTTATAACCTAGCTCACTACGGTAAGACAGCCTGTTCCTCATCAGACGGCGACTGCTCCATCGTGCGTGCGCCGCAGACAGACAGACCTGTTCTTCTCCTCCACCAGAAAGGATGTCTTTCACCAACATTATCTTTTGTCATGTTTTAGCTGAGTTTTCTGTTTAGTTTTTTTTGGGGGGGGTTGGCCAATGGGGGTGATGGCATCATATTATATCACAACCCAATGTGAAGTGTCCAGCCCGCTGGACCTACTAGTGATTGTCATTCCGAAGCCTTATTGGGATGAAATAAGGGACTGTTTTTGCTCTAATCCTAGGTGGATGCAGACAACGACTGCACCTCCAATCTCTCCGTGGACTACAGCCGTCTGATCCACAGCTATGAGCAGAAGGAGAAGAAGCTGGGGAGTCTCAGTCATGAGCTAGCCAACGTCCAACAGACCATCAGCCAGCTGAGCAGCACTAAAGATGTCCTCCTGGGGAAACTGGACAGTGTGGCCCAGAGTCCTGAAGTCACCACGCTGTCTGCTGCCCAGCTTCCTGCTGCAGTAGAACCTCCCAGAGACCAGGTGGCAGCACCACCTCCAGGGAACCAGGAGGGACTGAGACAGGAGCTGGAGTCTCTGAGAGCCCTCCTGTCTGAGAGGGAAACTATGATCAGGACCCTGCAGGAGAACAACCACCGCCTGTCTAACTCAGCCCAGGCGTCAGAGAGCGAGCAGCGCGGCCAGGCCGACGAGGCCAGACAGGTCAGAGAGAGACTGGACGCTCTGCAGCGCTCTGTCAGGGAGAAAGACCTGCTCATCAAGACTAAAGGAGATCAACTCAACCAGGTGTGTGTGTGTGTGTGTGTGTGTGTGTGTGTGTGTGTGTGTGAGGAAGGCACAGCGGGTGCGCTATTAAGACATGTAACTTTAAAAAAAAAAATCTTATTAAACAAAGCTTCAATTACAACTGAATCAAGTGAGTAATGACCCCTTCATTAGAATGAGTACAACTGTCAATTCAGGTCAATTATGTCATAATGGGTTGTCGTGACGTGACTTTCATTAATATGATGACTGTTATTTATCGAATCAACTAACTATGTTTAATTGTTACTCTTATTAAATGAATCATGTAACAATTAACTCATTAGGATTTGGGGCACCACGGAATAAGTTGTTTATAGAGTTATCATCTGCTGAATTAAACTCTAAAAGGTCTTTACCTATCAATATGTATAAAACAGTCAACGTTATCAGTCATTACCTCTTATCAGTCGTCATTCTGAACGGTCGTAGACTTCTTGGATCTGCACAAACCCCAACTTTACTTATCATTCAACACTACACAAACTGGCTTAATTATTTATTTACTAGCTAACTAAATAATAACACAGAATACATACATAATACATGAGAAAAAGTCCCTAGCGGACTAACAGCAGCACGACTGCTTGGTTATCAAAAGAGGGAGGGGTCAATAGAAGGAGGGACAAAATGAGAGAGTCTCATTGTTGAGACATTTGGAAGCCCTCAAAGTAATCGTAATACTTAGCACCCTAACCACCGCCCGTTCGGAGTAAGAAACCAACGAATGTATTTACGTGTTTGCCGCTCGTCAACCTCAGTAGACCCAAGCCCTCTTGGGAAAGGATGGTTTTAGCTGGGTCTTCGCTCAGCTCACTTGTGAGGCTCTGACTGTCCACCAGAGGTCGCAATGTCCTCCTTCTTTGTTCTGGCCCCGTGTAACTCAGTTGGTAGAGCATGGCGTTTGCAACGCCAGGGTTGTGGGTTCGATTTCCCACGGGGGAGGGGGCCAGTATGAAAAATGTATGCACTCACTTAACTGTAAGTCGCTCTGGATAAGAGCGTCTGCTAAAATGACTAAAAAATGTGGATGTAGTGGAGTGTACTCAGAGCAGATATTCGGTGATGGTCTGAGATGGGATTTTCTCCTTCCCACCTCGTGTCTTTAGTCAAAGTTCTAGAACGCTTTACACCGCCAGGACAGCGGAGTCACTCACCACCTTCCGGAGACATTTGAAACCCCACCTCTTTAAGGAATACCCCCCCCCCCCCCCCCAAAAAAATTTTTTTTTAAAGTGGTTATCCCACTGGCTATAGGGTGAATGCACCAATTTGTAAGTCGCTATGGATAAGAGCGTCTGCTAAATGACGTATATGTGCCCTTGAGCAAGGCACTTAACCCTAATTGCTCCTGTAAGTCGCTCTGGATAAGAGCGTCTGCTAAATGACTAAAATGTAAAATGTAAAAAATGTACACGCCCAGCTGGCAACGTTCTGGTCTAGTGGGTTTATCGTCTTCTCCTCGTGTTGGGATTCAAAGTTCTAACCGTTTCAAACGTGTGGACTACCGTCTCCACGCTTTATGGTCTTTCTGGTCTAACCATTTTTAAGCCGTGTAGCCACGGCTCCACACCACTTTCTGGTCTAATGTAAATTTCGTTACCAAGGCTTTTTATGCACTCTGGTGAAAGGGGCGTTCCTACTTGCTGACACGGACTCTGAGCTCACTCAGGGGGGCGTGTCTAGTCACCGTCGCATAGCTTATATAAAAACCTATGATCTCGTTAGAAAACTAAAATCACATTCCTATCTTAACAAAAATACTATTGTAATTCTCCATATTATATACACAACATATTGGATGTAAACTTGACAGATAAAATGTGTATACTTTCCAAATTACAGTATTATTGTTTTAACATTTTTAATGACATCACAAAATAATAAACAATATGACATGATTAGTCTTTAGATCCCCACTGGCCATTCCAAACATTCGGATGTTAGGAATATTGTTCCAGTGTTTACTTTTTGGACTTAAACGTTTTGGCGGCAAAAGTATTCTGGAGACAAAGCACATTCCTTTCACCATACTAGAGGGCCAGAGATAGATTCTCCCCCTCTCTAATTTATGGCAGAGTGTTAAGGTGTCAAAACCAGCACAGCCCCCCCCCCCCCTCCCCTCTTCTGTGGGTAAGAGGGTCTGGTTGTTGTCAGCCATTTGCCAAAGCTGATCTTAGGCCTTTGAGCCTCAGCCAGGAGATTCAGCCAGGAGATTCATGACAGTGTGGACTGGCAGCCATTTTGAGTGTCCACATAGGTGCAAAACAGGACGTTCAAGCAGGCATTCAATCTGTGCATCTGTTCATTTCTCCAGGTGAGTGAGAGCCTGAGGAACCGTGAAAGCGACAACGAGGTGTTAAAACAGGCCGTGACCAACCTGAAGGAGCGAGCCCTTATCCTGGAGATGGATACCAGGAAGCTAAAGGTAGGTAGCCCAGCGGCTAAGGAGTTAAACCTGTAGCCGAAAGGTAGCCAGTTCGAATCCTGGGCTGGGTGCTAAAAAAAAAAGGGGGAAATTGATCTGGCAACTGGAGGGCTGCTAAGTTCACATCCTAAATACATTTCTCTATCATTGGGTTCTTGAGCAAGGCCCTTAACCCCACAACATGCTCTCCATCCAGCGGCTTCTGCTTGTCTCAAATGTATGTGTGCTGTCTGGAGGGAAGATACATTTCCGTTGTTGGCTGAAACCTGGACAATAAAGTGACTGTATTGTGTTGAAGGATGAGAACGAGGCTGTGGCCCAGCGGAGCAGGGAGAAGGAGTCAGAGTTCAGAGCCCTGCAGGAGACCAACATGCAGGTGTCCCTCCTCATGAGGGAGAAGGAGTTTGAGAGGAGCGCCATGTCGGAGAAGGCTGCCGCCATGGAGAAGATGCTCAAGGACAGAGAACAGGTTAGGATGTTTGTACTGTGCAACATCAGTTAATGTAAACTACCAACAAACTATTTTTCTGGGAATAATGATCATTTGAGACTTGTAATGCCATAACTCACATCCTTTATTTAGGAATAGATAACAGATCTAGTTGAGGAGGACAGAGAAATGCGATCACAGTAAAATAGGCTATTAAATAGTTTAAATAAATTGAGAAACACTCGGTTGAATCTTTTCACAAACAGATCAAAATGGTTGTATTCTTTCCTGACCCTTCCATTGCTGTTTCACAAACTGATAATTTGCATGACCCTGTAAAACAACACATTTCACTGCACCTATCCGGTGTATGTGACAATATTTATATTTTTTTTACCTGACCGTTCCATTGCGGTGTCCCATTGCAACAGTCAGAAGGCCCGGGAAGCAGAACCAGCTGATTGATTGATTGATTTTATTTATATGTTTCCCAGGGCAACAGTCAAAAGTCTGGGGAGCTGAACCAGCTCCTGAATGAGCTGAGGTCCATGCAGGAGAAAGCTGTGGCCTTCCAGCAGGAGAGGGACCAGGTCATGTTGGCGCTCAAACAGAAACAGATGGAGACCACAGCCGTACAGACAGAGGTAGGTTAGATGGACACACACCAGGGTTTCCCGTTAGGAAAATGGTGGCCCGTCCAGGGTTTCCCGTTAGGAAAATGGTGGCCCGTCCAGGGTTTCCCGTTAGGAAAATGGTGGCCCGTCCAGGGTTTCCCGTTAGGAAAATGGTGGCCCGTCCAGGGTTTCCCGTTAGGAAAATGGTGGCCCGTCCAGGGTTTCCCGTTAGGAAAATGTGGCCCGTCCGG